GGGAACACAATTGGGTGCTTGCTGCAACTCGTACACATAGGTTTTGAGTCTGGCAACGCAGGAGGGTTTACCCATATTTGTGAGGATTCGGTACATTCGAGTATTATGGCCTCTTGGGGAGTCATTAAAGTGGTTCTAAACGCTTAAGGTTTTTTACCCTCATGCAGTCTATGCATGAAGGTAAAAACCTTCTGTGTGCAGCATCCCCCCAGCCCCCCTGAATACTCACCTAAGCTCCCCCTCGATCCAGCGATGTGCACTGGAGTCTTGGCTATCTCGGGACTCCCTGTTCTCATTGGCTGAGACAGAAGTGGGAACCATTGGCTCCCACTGCTGTCAGTCTCACCCAGTGAGCCATTGAGACGAGCGAGAGGGCAGGGCTGAGCCATGGCGCCGTATGTGAATGGACACACGGAGCAGCGGGTGCCCCCATAGCAAGCTGCTTGCTGTGGGGACATCCGGAAGGAAGGAGGGGCCAGGAAAGCCTGCGGTGGTCTCGAAAAGAGGAGAATCTGGGCTGCTCTGTGCAAAACCAGTGCACCCAACAGTTCAGTGTATACATGTTTGTTATTCTTTTTCTTAAAAAAAGATAAGCCTTTAGAATCACTTTAATTATTTGACCTGACCTGTCAATAGCCAGGTCCAAGAGTTAAAGTCCCTTAGCCAGATTGCAGGCGTTGTTGGGTGTTGGGACATATAAGCCAGACCCTCGTTGATCACCACAGATGTATAAGGTGGAGGAATATAATGTGCAAATAGGAGTACAGGGTGACCTGTAGGAAGATAAATCTGCTGTGTGGGTCCGTGCTCATCTTAATTAATTCAAATGGGTCCAATTTGGCTACTAGAACCAAAACATCCTGGGCATAGGAAGAATAGGTGGCATGATAAACCCAGCCCACCCAGTGGCATTTTAGGACCAGTTGTAATTGGCCTGTAATGTGGGTCACGACCAAAACAATTATCCGCCTTCTGGGCTTTGTGGAACGTTAGGATTGCTGTGCGTTTCATTTTGTCCCGCATACCATGGACGTTCCACATTAAAAGTTAAGAGTGCTATAGGGTGGACCAATAGGAGAGTGGACAGGAGAATAGGTATCGGACTGACATGGCAAATCACCATACAATAAATATATACATTAGTAGATGTGCAACAACTTAGACTAATAGACTTCATATAACAAGTAATAATTGGGGGCAGAAAAAAAAGTACATTGCAATAAAGAACTTAGCATATTTTACCTCCCACCCAGCTCCCGACCTCCAAAACTTGGCCGGAGCAAACAATCCGAAACTAAGAACAGACAACATTATGTTCAAGCTCAAAGTCAGTAGTGTCTATCAGATCCACACCAACCCTGTGGATCCACGAACCTGACACTCCAAACTGCTGGGGGGAGGTGGGTTTGGTGACTTCTCGCTGGTGTGAGCTACTGAGTGAGGCACACAATAAGCCCTTGAGATGTAATTTAAGGAGTACTAATGTGGCAGTAACATCCATAAAAGAGGAGAGCTATGTTCAAAGAGGTGTTAATGTTCATGCTAGATGGTATCCAAATAAAGGGAAAATCCAGTGAGGGAAATGAAGGGGGGGAAACATACTTGGGTGAGGGGGAAGGAATAGCAGGAGACATGGACAGTAAACTGGTGCAACTGGTCCACATAGGCAAAATTGGCAGAAGATGAATAGTCTCCAGGTTGGGTGCACATTAACAGATGGCTGGTGACAAGCCATGGTCTGAGATCTGGCCATGTGGAGAAGGGGAAAAATAAAGATTGAGCAATTGCCGAATCGCACAAGATATGATAATTTTTGGTAGATAAGTGAGAAAATACAGGTGGGTACTCATGGAGAGACTACCAGTTGTTGTTCAGGCCAGAGTGGTGTCTGTAGTGGATCATTGGTCAAGCCATGTGGATGTGGCCTTCTGCCTCCACGTGAAGCTTGGCAGGATACAGCATGGCGTACTTGAGGTGGTGTACGCAGAAGCGTCTTTTGAGCGCATCAAAGCAGGATCTTCATCATTGCACCTCCACTGAGAAGTCGGGGAAAGCAGCCACCTTGACATCCTGAAAGGGAATATTGCCTCTTTCTCTTGCCAGTCGAACAGTGTCTCAGTCATGGTAGTTAAGGAGTTTAGCTATGAAAGTACGCAGTGGTGCACCTTGCGGTGGTGGATGTGCAGGCATGCAGTGGTTGGCATCTCCTGCAAGCCTACAAAGTGAAGGTTACAGCGCCACAGGTGGTTCTCCATATCATCCTGCTTCTGGGTGATCTGCTGTAACTGGTGTTGTTTATGCTCCATGGTGTGCTGGAGCGGGTGTGGTGTGTCTTCCATTCTGCCGATGTGGGTCTCGGCCTTTGTAACCCTGTCCTGGAGTTCATGAAAGTCCAGAAGTGTTCGAGAAATGTCAATCTTGACCTTGTCTATTTTCGAGGTAAGGGTCACCATCTTCCCCCTGAGCGTCCGGCTCCTTTGGCAGAATTTCTCCAGTTTAGAACTGGGCCCCTGAGGCTTTGCGTGCGGGAGACATATATCGGATAGGGTAGAGGAAAACTCTAGAGCCAGAAGCAGGTTAGAAGGATCAGCATATTTAGCAGGATACCGGTGGAAGGACAGAATGAAGACTGAGCTCTCCTTGTGTGCGCCATCCTCCACATTCCAGACCCCCCCCCCTCGCATTTGGCTTTTTAATCATAATAAACCACTTGATGCTGCACTTAGCTGGCGCCCCTTGTGTTCCTTTTTAGCGTCAGAGATGTTAGTCTTAAAGACTGTAAGAATTAAAAGTAAAAATCTTTTGCATTCCCTGTACAGCAGAGTTTAGTCTGTATAAGAGAGAAGCAGTTCAGATGCTAATCAGTTGTGCTGCAGTGTAAAGAGCCTGCAGATGGAAGATGAGAAGAGAGTGACAGGGAGATGGGCTCATTCGTTTGCTGCTTCTCCTTTCATTGGCTAAGCACAGGTTGGGAAACTGTCAAGACCTGTTAGTGGTACATAAAAAAAACAAGTATCATGCCCTTCCAGTCTGGGCTGTCCTGTGTAGCAGAGTGGTGTCAATATCAGAAGTGACAGAAATATAAATCTTTTTCCAGTTATGCATTTGACATTTTTTAGCTGTTTGTCTGAAATTTTGCACTAAGTAAACTGCTAGAAGGCTTTTAAAAGACTTTAAATAGGCTGTGTAATCCTTTTAAAAAGGAACTAAAGTGTGTAAAAAAAAAAAAAAAAAAAAAAAAAAGATGAGCAGGTAGGCAATTTATTGCAGATAAGACATGCTGTGTCTCTTTTGCAATAACTGCTTGTTCGCAGTCTTCTTTAAAATGTACCCTGAGCTATGCATGTGCAGCACAGGGTACATTCTGGCATGTGTAACCTCAAAGTTACATCATCTCATGCAGGCCAGTTAAGGCATCCAAAGACTTGTCACCTGGAAAAAGCCAGGGAGAATTATTAATATTATTATACAGGATTTATATAGCACCAACAGTTTGCACAGCACTTTACAAAATGAAGGTAGACATTACAGTTACAATACAATTTGGTGCAAGAGGATATAGAGGTCCCTGCTCATTAGAGCTTACACTCTAAGAGGAAACCTGTTGATACTGGTGAGGTTCCTCATGGACATTGAAGTGGAGGGGGGTATTTTTTGCTTTAATTATGCTTTAATACTTCATTAAAACCAACCAAAATTAAAAAACAAAAATCTGCACAAGAGAGATAAATAACTTACTGTAGGATGTCATTTGTGCTGATGCCTCTTCTGTTATGTGAAATTTCTCTTTGTCCATTCTCCCAGCCACCTCCACCACCATAATGTTCCTTTGCGGTAGGGGTTAACAGAATTAAGGGGTTGTCATAGGCCAGTGGTCGGCAAGCCGCTGCTCGCGAGCCACATGCGGCTCTTTACAAACTTAAATGCGGCTTTTCTGTGTGCCGGGCGCCCGCTCCCCTCCCTCCTCTCGGGCGGCCGCCCCAAAAGTCAGGACTCTGCAGCTGTCAGGATGTAGGCGGGGCAGCAGCATGACGAACTCCTCTCCTCTCACAGTCCGCCCTGAAGACCAGAACGGCGCGGGAGCACGGCGAGAAGAGCGCGCGGAGCAAAGGTAAGTGAATTGACACGGGGGACTTGGGGACTTAATATGGGGGATGAATTACTATGGGGAATGAATTACTATAGGGGGGATGAATTACTATATGGGGGATGAATTACTATATGGGGGATGAATTACTATATGGGGGATGAATTACTATATGGGGGATGAATTACTATATGGGGGATGAATTACTATATGGGGGATGAATTACTATATGGGGGATGTTTTTTCAGTTTTAAAAATGTGGCTCTCAAAATAAATTTCAATCGTGGTTTTGGCGAGATTTGGCTCAGTTGAAAAAAAAGGTTGCCCACCACTGTCATAGGCTGTCATCAGGAATGCCCCACTATGCCCGCCCTTTCTGCACAGCTCTGCTTTCATAAAAGCTGTACTACAGCTTCTATAACTGGAAACTGATCAATGAAGGCCAAGCGGATGATTGATAGGTCTGTTTCTCCATTCATAGATTCTGTTTTATTCATAGAAGCTGTAGTATGGCTTTAATGAATGGTGGAAAGGGCAAGCATAATCGGGCACTCTTCATGACAGCCTGTAAAAGTTGTAATAACCCCCACTGCACCAGAGATGAATATTTGTGGCTTTAGTTCTGTCACCTGGCCAGTGGTTAGACGTGGACATTCCATACCAGGGTTTCTTGTAAAAGGACTTTAAACCCACCATTTAGCCCAAAAAAAAATTTAGCTGCGTGTGCCATTTGTATACTAATCCTTCTGCTTCAGTGGTCAGCACTGGAGGTGTCATTCTTCAGTCATGATTCCATAAAGTACTTGCTGTTTATAGAAACATTAATTGCTGACAGTCTGGTTTACAAATGTATAGCAGAAAATTGATTTAAGGGTTCATTAATCCTTAACATGCCTCCTACTCTCTCTTCTAGGAACAGTTACAAAAACTAGAATCTGAATTAAGGGAAGTGAATAAGAACAAGGAAAAGTTACAAAAAAATCTCCTGGAATTAACAGAATATACACATATGCTGCGAGTAACCAAGGACTTTGTACAGAAATCAGCAGAGGTATTCATCCATGAATATGTTCTTCTATTCAGCCTTTAGCTAATGTTATCTGGTTTAAAGGGCAGCTGCATGGAAAAAATATTGTATATACAGTTGATACACTTGGATCAAAGAGACATCTCACAAAGGGATTAAGTCTTTCCTTCACTATCACTGGAAAGTAATAACAACAGATGCCAGTCTTTCAGACTGGGGAGGAGTAATCCAGTTTCTCACAGTCCAGGGAACATGGTCCCCTGTGGAAGCCAAGCTTCCCATCAATATCCTAGAGTTCAGAGCAGTTCGGATGGCTGTGCAACACTGGACCCCCCCTTCCCCTTTTGCGAGGACCCCAGTCAAGATGCAGTCAGACAATCCCACAGCTGTGGCGTACATCAACCACCAACAGGGCGCCAGCTGTTTATCTCAAGGCCCTCTATTTCATCCTTCTTCACAGTCTCTTACTTTAACAGCATGGCTGTTGAAGCTCAGGCCTTTAAAGATAGAGGGGTCGCTAAGTCTGTTATTCCTATCTTGCTAAAGGCACTTTCAGGAAGTTGAATAAAGAATGGTGCAGCACTAATATTACTCTCTCCCTCTATCATAAACAAATGAAAAAAAAATATATTTCATTAACCCAGCTCAGTAAACTCACCATATAACAATGTGTCATCTGAATCCAAAGCAAATAGCATCAAACAATATGGCACTTTGACATATATTGCAATTAGTGTCCTTTTTAAAGTGTTAAAATCAAAATCTTCAGCGGTAAAGTTTGCATTCCACCTCCCTGTGAAATGGTAGAGATATTCAAATCCTTTGCAAATGACAGTGCATATTACATGTGCCACCCACTGTGGAAATGCATTCACCTTCTAGGTTTGACCTGAACTAATATATACAGTCAGGTCCATAAATATTGGGACATCGACACAATTCTAACATTTTTGGCTCTATACACCACCACAATGGATTTGAAATGAAACGAACAACATGTGCTTTAACTGCAGACTGTCAGCCTTAATTTGAGGGTATTTACATCCAAATCAGGTGAATGGTGTAGGAATTACAACAGTTTGCATATGTGCCTCCACTTGTTAAGGGACCAAAAGTAATGGGACAGAATAATAATGATAAATCAGACTTTCACTTTTTAATACTTGGTTGCAAATCCTTTGCAGTCAATTACAGCCTGAAGTCTGGAACGCATAGACATCACCAGACGCTGGGTTTCATCCCTGGTGATACTCTGCCAGGCCTCTACTGCAACTGTCTTCAGTTCCTGCTTGTTCTTGGGGCATTTTCCCTTCAGTTTTGTCTTCAGCAAGTGAAATGCATGCTCAATCGGATTCTAGTCAGGTGATTGACTTGGCCATTGCATAACATTCCACTTCTTTCCCTTAAAAAACTCTTTTGGTTGCTTTTGCAGTATGCTTTGGGTCATTGTCCATCTGCACTGTGAAGCAGCGTCCAATGAGTTCTGAAGCATTTGGCTGAATATGAGCAGATAATATTGCCCGAAACACTTCAGAATTCATCCTGCTGCTTTTGTCAGCAGTCACATCAATAAATACAAGAGAACCAGTTCCATTGGCAGCCATACATGCCCACGCCATGACACTACCACCACCATGCTTCACTGATGAGGTGGTATGCTTAGGATCATGAGCAGTTCCTTTCCTTCTCCATACTCATCTCTTCCCATCACTCTGGTACAAGTTGATCTTGGTCTCATCTGTCCATAGGATGTTGTTCCAGAACTGTGAAGCCTTTTTTAGATGTCGTTTGGCAAACTCTAATGTGGCCTTCCTGTTTTTGAGGCTCACCAATGGTTTACATCTTGTGGTGAACCCTCTGTATTCACTCTGACGTCTTCTCTTGATTGTTGACTTTGACACACATACACCTACCTCCTGGAGAGTGTTCTTGATCTGGCCAACTGTTGCAAAGGGTGTTTTCTTCACCAGGGAAAGAATTCTTCGGTCATCCACCACAGTTTTTTTTTCTGTGGTCTTCCGGGTCTTTTGGTGTTGCTGAGCTCACCGGTGCATTCCTTCTTTTTAAGAATGCTCCAAACAGTTTTTGGCCACGCCTAATGTTTTTGCTATCTCTCTGATGGGTTTGTTTTGTTTTCAGCCTAATGATGGCTTGCTTCACTGATAGTAACAGCTCTTTGGATCTCATCTTGAGAGTTGACAGCAACAGATTCCAAATGCAAATTGCACACTTGAAATGAACTCTGGACCTTTTATCTGCTTGTTGTAATTGGGATAATGAGGGAATAACACACACTTGGTCATGGAACAGCTGAGAAGCCAATTGTCCCATTACTTTTGGTCCCTTAACAAGTGGGAGGCACATATGCAAACTGTTGTAATTCCTACACCGTTCACCTGATTTGGATGTAAATACCTTCAAATTAAAGCTGACAGTCTGCAGTTAAAGCACATCTTGTTCGTTTTATTTCAAATCCATTGTGGTGGTGTATAAAATGTTAGAATTGTGTCAATGTCCCAATATTTATGGACCTGACTGTATCAGACAAGTCAAAATAGGCTTATGTAGTTTCCCACGTTTCTATAGATCACAGTTCTTCACATAGGTAATTCAACATTCCTCATGAGCAAGGTGAGAAAAGATTCCCAGACAGGTCACAGCTTACTCAATAGGAAATTCAGTATTTTTCACAAGCAAGTTTAATTAAAAGGATTAAAGCCCAAATACATGAAATATGTTTTGCAGTGCAGGTATCAGAAAGTATGTTGCAGATGGCTAGTAAGAAGTAAAACTTCACAAAGTGCCCAGAGCTGCAGTGATGCTAGTCAGTGTCCAGAGCCAGACCCTCCTTCTCCACATAAATGAATTTCAGCTCCTTAACCTGTAATCACTGCCCATTCTTGAACTGAAGACTGTGTACTATAGCAGAAATCACATTGAGCAGCACCAGTCCTGCCTGACATGGTACATCATACCGACTTCATCAGAGGCTGAGACAAAGATCTGCAATAATACCTGAAATCCTCCTTTGCCTGGCATGAACACAGACACTTTAGTCCCAGAGCGTACTCTGTGCCTTACATTCTGACCTTCCACCAATCATGTCTTGACCAGAAATTGGCCTTACGCACTCTGAAAAGGTAGGTTTCAGCTTTGGCCATCCTTTTTCAAAGACCCCTGGTTTAGCTTTCTCTTGTAAAAATTTTTCTTCAAGGTGTATTAAGCATTAAGCCCTGGTACAGCACCCTGTGCTTCCTTAAGATCTCAACTTGGTTCTTTGTGCCCTGCAGAAGCCTAGTCTGTACCATGTGATCTCCAGCATGATCTTGACTTCTATTCAAGTACTCAACACCCCTGTCACCTAACCTAATTGCTAGCCAAAATGAAAAGGAATCATGTTTAACCTTTGTACATTTGTATTTGTAATCTCATTCTCATTAAGGTTTGTGTTCCTTTTTAGTATGAAACCTCTTCACAAACCATTTATGAGGAGTTTCCTGCTTTGGAAAAGGAATCCTTAATGGACTATACTTGTATGCAGAGGCTTGGAGCAAAACTGGGGTAAGTAGATAATAGTCATGATGATCTGGACCCTTCTTTCTCTCAGGTCCATAAGACGTAAGCTTGCAATTTTAGTATATTCAATAATAGTAAAATGCAGCGCTAATAGATATGATGATGATAATTAGTAGGTAATAGACATAAAAAACATGCGCTGTGGAGCGCTAAGAATATTTGTGTAGGTAGCGGCTAAATGTGACGCATAAGGTGCAGTAATGACACATAAATATAAAACGTCCAATAATAGTAGAAAGTCCAATAGAACACATATAGGTGAATTCAGTGACTCCGGTGGGTAGAAGAAATAAGTATATATTGTACTAACCAGAAAGCGCAATAATATGCGCATTTGAGTAAATTACACCACTCCTGGTCATCTGTATCCTGAAGGCAACTTAGAGAATCATCTGGTACTCGTCAGCGCCAACCAGTGACGTGACGCCGTGACGTGACGCTGCACAGGCCACGAGGAAGGCTGGCGGCCATCTTTTAATATTGTTACAATTGCCAGATGTGAGTGCAATGCTTTTGTGTATTTGAAATTCACCCAACTTAATAAAAAATACTGCACTATTAGGCACTTTCTTTTTGGCTTGTTCATTTATGAGCCATTTAAGGTGGATTTCCTGGTATTCCTTTTGCCTATTACTGGTCCATTCTCACTGGATTGGAGATATCCTGGAACCTGGAGATATGCAGTCGGATGATCACCTGATGTGCTGACAAGTACCAGATGATCCCCTAAATTGCCTTCAGGATACAGATGACCAGGATTGGTGTAATTTAAGCAAATGTGCATATTATTGCGCTTTCTGGTTAGTGCAATATATACTCATTTCTTCCACCCATCAGAGTCACCGGATTCACCTATACAGTATGTGTTCTATTTTACTTTCCACTATTATTGGACGTTTTATATTTATGTGTCACTACTGTACCTTATGCGTCATATGTAGACGCTACCTACACGAATGTCCTTAGCGCTCCGCAGTGCACGTTTTTTATGTCTATTAACTACTAATTATTATTATCATATCTATTAGCGCTGCATTTTACTATTATTGATGTGTACAAGGATTTGAGGTTTGATCTTGATGCTAGCAGCTTATTCATTTACCTAGCGCTTGTTTAATTCACTACTACTTTTTATTGAATTTTAGTATATTGCTTGTTATTGCTGCTGACACATTTCCAAGGTACAGTATGTGAAATTTCCTGCATATCACACTTTAATTTAAATGCCTGCCAAAGCTATGCCAGGCTGATGTAAATACTTTTTCTTCCAAAACTTCATTCAATCTGGCAAGGAACAGGTGCCTGTGAGGTGTAGATATTGGGGAAAGCATGGGCTACTTAGCAAAGCACTGGGTAGTACCAGCTGCCTACTCCTTGTCAGAGCTCACTTCTAAGTAACTTTGATTTTGATGGGGGAAGAAAAATCCTTGCTGAGGCACTCCTATCAATATGTATTGTGGGAGTAGCAGAATCAAGGATGATACAATGACTTTATTTTGTTCAGATCCTCTATTTGAATGCACGTGCTAATAAAACCATGGCTCGCCAGACATATGGACTCAATACTTGCCAGTACGTGTCACCATTTCACAAAATGTTTCATGGATCAAAATGAAATTCAGACTTGCAAACATTTCATATGGGTTTTCGAAGTACATAAAATTCTCCCAAAGGATACACCATAGTTATACATCCATGACACAGTACCTGCCAATGAAATGTCTCCATAGCACAGTGAACTTTTCCAAATGTAGTCTCACATATACTATATATTGCCAAAAGTATTGGAACATCCCCCAATTCATTGGATTCAAGTGCTGTAATCCCCTCCATGGCCACAGCTGTATAAAATCAAGAACCTGGGCATGCAGACTGCTTCTACAAATATTTGTGAAAGAATGCGTTGCTTTCAGGAGTTCAGTGAATTCAAGCATGGTGCCATGACAAGTTGTCACCTTTGCAATAAGTCCATCTGTGAAATTTCCTTGCTACTAAATATTCCACGGTCAACTGTTAGTGGTATTATGACAAAGTGAAAGCAACTGGGAACAACAGCAACTGAGGCATGAAGTGGTAGGCCACGTAAAATGACAGAGCGGGGTCAGCACATGCTGAATTGCACCATGTGCAGAAGTCGCCAACTGTCTGCAGAGTCAATAGCTAAAGACCTCCAAACTTCATGTGGCCTTCAGATTAGCACAACAACAGTATGTTGAAAGCTTCATGGAATGAGTTTCCATGGCCGAGCAGTTGAATTCAACCAAGTGCAATGCGAAGTGCCAGATGCAGTGGTGTAAAGCACACCACCACTGGACTCTAGAGCAGTGGCGATGTGTTCTCTGGAGTGGCAAATCACGCTTCTCTGTCTGGCAATCTGATGGACATCTCTGGGTTTGGCATTTTTCAGGAGAATGGTACTTGCCTAACTGCATTGTGCCAAGTGTAAAGTTTGGTGGAGGGGGATTATGTTGTGGAGTTTTTTTTTTTTTTTTTTTCAGGGGTTGGGCTTGGCCCCTTAGTTCCAGTGAAGGGAACTCTTAAGGCATCGACATACCAAGACAATTTGGGGAAGTTTGAGGGTGGCCCTTTCCAGTTCTAACATGACTGTACACCAGTGCAAGCAAGGTCCATAAAGACATGGATGAAAGAGTTTGGGTTTGGAGGAACTTGACTGACCTGCACCTTGAGGCCTGACCCGATAGAACACCTTTGGGATGAATTAGAGCGAAGACTTCGAGCCAGGCCTTCTCGTCCAACATCAGTGCCTGACCTCACAAATGTGCTACTGGAAGAATGGTCAAACATTCCCATAGACACACTCCTAAACCTTGTGGACAGCCTTCCCAGAAGAGTTGAAGCTGTTATAGCTTCAAAGGGTGGGCCAACTCAATATTGAACCCTATGGACTAAGTCCGGGATGCCATTAAAGTTTTACATTGTAGGATGCAGCAAAGTCTTTAATTTGAGCTTCATCCCCAGGTTCCTACTTTTCAAACTGATTGCAGGGAAATCCGAGGATACTTAAACCTTTCTCAGCATATTTGGCGTGAATTTCTACAAGCTGAGTGTAGTTTACAGGTGTTTTTCCTCATTTAGATGCTACATTGACAATGATACAGACATAACCCCTGTATTTCTCCAAAGGCAGGCACTCCCAATACAGTTGTGGAGTGAGGGTAGGCTGCTATTGCAGCAATCCAGTGATGTAAAAGATCTGTTGCCATCCCTTTTTGCTCCAGCTTTAATGGAGGCAGACATTTTCATTTTTTAGGTTTCTACTTGATTGGATTAATCAAATATCATCATGACACCTTGGATTTTTACCTCTACCTTGCAGTTTGTTTCAAATGTTTTGGTGAAGCTTGCCCTACATTATTTGTTTATTACATAGACCCATGAGTACAGTGAGATCATATTGGGAACTACATTTTACAGTTTTACAGAAAATCCTTCCACTTTTTCTTTTGGCAGGTTTGTTTCTGGGCTAGTTCACTGTGGAAAACTTGAATCTTTTCAGAAAATGCTGTGGAGGGTTTGCAAAGGTTACACCATTCTCACTTACAAGGAGCTAGATGTGTTTCTGATTGACCATGAAACTGTAAGTAGGTCCTTCCCTGAGAATATTTTTTACATTCTTACAACTAGTGAATGCTATGATCTAAAACTAGAGTTTATTCTGTTTTCTGTCTGTGTACCTGTATTTAAAGGCTGTATTTAGGGTGTAACATTTCACTATGCAACGTGTCATCTTGCTAGGTAACACTGCAATAATAACTCATAAGATTTACATTTAAAGTCCACTCTAGTGCTACGTGCCACAGCAGTGCTGCTAGCATAAGGTGTGGGCTCACCTATCTTATACAGAACATCAGTAAGTGATGCCAAACTCTTCAACTAAAGCTCTTTAAAGAGGCCATATAAAAATGGGGATGCCTTACTTTTATGGAGGAGTTTAATCGATACATAAAAAAAGGAACTTGAGAATATCTTTTTAGAATACCTAAAAAACTGGATGAAGAAAAAAAAATGTATGTCTCATTTTTAAAGCATATTTCTGGTGCTACAGTTGCTTCTTAAAGAGAGTTTGTTACCAGCTTTAAAAATTGCAGATAAAAGCACAGAAAATCAAGTATTTTTAATGCTTACTTGCTTCTTCCACCACTACCATCAGTTTTACTGGGGTTGCTGGTGCCCAGAAGCAGTCTCAGGGATTTTGGATATCTACATAAAATAGGCTTTTACAGATTGCATGAAATGTTAAATCTGAAATTTGCTGTGTTTTGGGGTTTTTTTCCCTGAAACCGCACCATACACATGTGTATCACATTACCTGCAGGCATTTGCTACTGCTAAAATAATAAAAATACATATTTTTCTGATGCGCTTTGTTCGCCACCGAATACTGTCCTAAGCACCAATCTTCCAGCACTGTGATGGTAAAACGTCTATATACATCTTATGCGTTTCAAGTGGAAGTCCATTTAGTTGCTAGGGTGTGCATAGTTACTGGACTGTCTTTTAATTTAGGGAGATACTGTACTAAATTAGACTCCTCAGGAATATCCCTTTCAAGGTATCTCAAACAATTAAAGCATCTGCTGAGCTATTGTTAATATCAAATAAGGCACAACAATCTTCAGACAAACCAAAGGTCTTGTGGGAAAAGTTAAGCTCAAAAATGGTTACATTTCCAGAAGGAGGTACTTGTCTTCAGGCAACTTCCACTAGTAAGGGACTATGGTCCGATACAAGTCTGGACAGGAAAGTGACAGTTGGAGATAGTAACCTAGACATCACCAGATCAATTCATGAATTGGATTTAAGTGCCAGGTTCACATATATGTGGGTTTGATGCGGTTTGAACTGTAGGTAATCTGCATGACATGTGAAATAACATTGCTTCCTATGGTGCCTGTTCACATACAGTATATCTGGTGCAGATTCTGTCTCAATTGAAAAAAAAAGTGCTGTCTGATTTTCTGAGCAGTGCGGTCTGATTCAGGTGCAGATTACAGGCGATTGAATTCTATGGAAACCATTTTTAAACCGCACATATGTGAACAGGATAAAATCCTGACCTAAACCTGTCCTGAACCTGATGTAAACCTGACCTGAACTGCCGAAGTCGCCAATTGTCTACTGTGTAAATTAGCTGTGAAACCTATGCTTAAGTCAGCATCGCACATGTGTGAATCAGCTCTAAGTGAACAAGAAAGAGAGAAGTATTGCTTGTGCAATTATTTTTTTCCCAAAAAGGGGAACTTAGCCTGTAAAGCCCATAAGGCATAAAGTAGGAGACTTGCTGGTGTGTGCTGCTAGGATTTTAGTACCTTTTGTGTATCATATTGATTGATTATGGACGAGGAATGTTAAAAGCCAAGAGGTTAATGGGGAGGGAATCTATAGTACCAAAAGTATAGTGCACAAAAGTAGCAGCCAGAGAGGGTTGCTTTTAAGTCGGTTAAAGCAAATTAACTGTGCGCTTAACCACTTGTAGAAAAAGTGGGTGGCATAGTACGCCCAACCAACCTTTCCTCTCCTCAATTGCAAGACTACACTGCCAGTCATGTGCGTCTTCTGCAGCAAAGTGATATCTGAATGCCGCTTTCTGGTTCAGGAACCAGAGCACAATTACATTCATATTTAGGATCCTCACACTCCAACTCAGGACTTTTCCACCTTAGGAAAATTCTGAGTCTCAAGTACTACAAACCAGATACAACAATGAGAGACCTCGAGGTCCTGTACGAAATCCTGATTTCAAGCAGTAACAGCAAAAATATTGTGTCATGATGAACAGTTCAAGACAGTGTAATGATGCAGGTGAGATGATAGCAACTGAGGGGAATAAACTAAATCTAAAAAGTAAGTTAGGAGACTTGGAGAAGCAAATATCCAGAAGTAGAGTAAGCCTAAATGGCTTTAGTGAAGTAAAGGAATGTAGCGCAGGAGCTATGAAACCGTTAAGGGCAGCAAACAACTATTCATAGAATGGATTAGATATGAGTTACAATCTAACGGTGCATCTCTTCAGGTGATTGGCAGAAGAGCATTTTCTCCCATCCTCCACATGATATTTCTACCCTATGAAATATCATGTGGAGGATGGGGGAAAACGCTCTTCTGCCAATCACCTGAAGAGATGCACTGTTAGATTGTACACCTAGCTCACCTCTGATAAGAGGAAATGGTCTACCCGGTAGACCATTTCCTCTTATCAGAGGTGAGCAAGGTGTGCAATCTAAAGAGAAGTCAGGGTAGAAACAAAATTGATGTGTTCTCATACCTGAGCAGACCCTGTGCTTTCACTGCTCTAACATGACATCCCAGTAATTATGTGGCCCGGCAATGAACAATGGTGGTGGAGCATAATGAGGGGAAGGGGGTGGTCTAGGTGAGAGATGGTGCACTCATTCCACAACAGACGTCAAAACCCATACCAGCAAATTTGCATCCTGCAGCAGATTCATTGCTTTTTCTATACCCATATGTAGGGATGTTCTAACTGGACAAAACTCCAGCACATCTTGGTAATGAAGGAACTTGCTTACCACCTCTTTACATTCCTACTCATTCCTACTGGCCAGTGAGGCCGATCATCTGAGCCAGTATGAATGTGTGGGAGAGTAGAGGCCGAAGGCAGACTTGCTGTTTTGCAATGGTCTGGCATTTAGAGGTAAATGGGGAAATGAAAGCTGGTGCGGGTGTCTCTCTTTAATGTGGTCATCACTTTATACCTGCTATCACCTTAACTTTTTATTTTTATTATCAAGTAAAAGGGCTACTCCTCCTCTTCTTCTTTAAAATATATATATTACACTGTGAATGTTTTTTTTTTCTATCGCTTTATGGTCATATCTTAACGTATTATTATTTTAAGGTTTAATTTTGATACAGAGCTTTTTTTTTTTTCTATTTTTAAAGGAAGAGCCAACAAAATGGTTTGTGTTTCTAATTTCTTATTGGGGAGACCAGATTGGACAGAAAGTGAAAAAGATCTGTGACTGGTAAGTGTTCTGTAGAGAGATTTATATCGCTGTTGTTTCCAGCTTTAACGGTAAAGATGCTGTGACTTTTTTTTTTTTTTTTGCACTAAGTTGACCTACACACCCCTCCCTCTATCCCCAGTTGCTTAAACATGATAGGGTACCTTCGGCAGAATTTTCCAATGCGGTAAGGCCTGCTTTGCTCACAGTGCAGGCACTCTGTCTCTGATACATTGCTAGTGTGCAGGCAGGGAAGTATTAGAAAATATATATATATATATATATATATATATATATATATATATATATATTTAGGTCACATGCACAATTTTATTTATTTATTTTTTTCAAGGTATTGACCACAACATATTCACGCTATAGTTTATATAATGGAGTTGGGCTGAAAGTGCACACTCTCAGGTTTAGTTTGAGGGTATCTACATCCAAATTGGAGGAACAGTTTAGGAATTACAGCTCTAGACTGGAGTGCGCTTTCAGCCCATATTCATTATTTAACTATAGCTTGAATATGTTTTTGTCAAAACCTGAAAAAAACTAAAATTGTGCCTGTGTCCAAATATATATGGACCCTTACTGTGTGTGTGTGTGTGTGTGTGTGTGTGTGTGTGTGTTGTGTGTGTGTGTGTGCGTGCGTGCGTGCGTGCGTGCGTGCGTGCGTGCGTGTGCGTGCGTGCGTGCGTGCATGCACATACACACTATATTGCCAAACATATTGGGACGCCTGCCTTTACACACACATGGACTTTAATGGCATCCCAGTCTTAGTCCGAAGGGTTCAATATTGAGTTGGCCCACCCTTTGTAGCTATAACAGCTTCAACTCTTCTGGGAAGGCTGTCCACAAGGTTTAGGAGTGTATCTATGGGAATGTTTGACCATTCTTCCAGAAGCGCATTTGTGAGGTCAGGCACTGATGTCAGACGAGAAGGCCTGGCTCACAGTCTCTGCTCTAATTCATCCCAAAGGTGTTCTATCAGGTTGAGGTCTGGACTGTGTGCAGGCCAATCAAGTTCCTCAACCCCAAACTCACTCATCCATGTCTTTTATGTACCTTGCTTTGTGCATTGGTGCATAGTCCTTTTGGAACAGTAAGGGACCATCCGCAAAGTGTTCCCACACATTTGTCTTTATGGACCTTGCTTTGAACACTGGTGTGCGGTCATGTAGGAACAGGACGGGCCCATCCCCAAAATGTTCCCACGAAGTTGGGAGCATGAAATTGCCCAAAATGTCCTAGTATGCTGACGCCTTAAGAGTTCCTTTCACTGGAAGTAAGGGGCCAAGCCGAACCCCTGAAAAACATCCCCACACCACATAATCCCCCCTCCTTCAAACTTTACACATTTGGCACAATGCAGTCAGGCAAGTAAGTTCCCCTGGCAACTGCCAAACCTAGACACATCCATTGGATTGCCAGACAGAGAAGCACGAGTCATCACTACAGAGAACATGTCTCCACTGCTCTAGAGTCAAGTGGTGACGTTCTTTACACCACTGTATCTGACGCGTTGCATTGCCCTTGGTGATGTAAGGCTTTGATTCAGCTGCTCGGCCATGGAAACCCATTCCATGAAGCTTTCAATGCACTGTTGAGCTAATCTGAAGGCCACATGAAGTTTGGAGGTTTTTAGCTATTGACTCTGCAGACAGTTGGCAACTTCTGCGCACTGTGTGCTTCAGCATACACTGAACCCGCTCTGTCTATTCACGTGGCCTAACACTTCGTGGCTGGGTTGCTGTTGTTCCCAGTGGCTTCCATTTTGTTATAACACCACTAACAGTTGACCGTGGAATATTTAGAAGCAAGGAAATTTCACAGATGGACTTATTGCACAGGTAGCAACCTATCGTGGTACCACGCTTGAATTCGCGGATCTCTTTAGAGCCATTCTCTCGCATATGTTTGCAGAAGCAGTCTGCATGCCTATGTGCTTTCATTTTTTAAAACTTGTGGCATGGTGGTGAGTGGAACACCTGAATTCCATGATTTGGGGGGGTGTCCCAATACTTTTAGCAATATAGTGTGAATGTGTGTGCCGGTACACTATAAGCTTCAATAGTAAAAACTGCCTTTATTGATGTTTTGTCAAACAGTGACATGTCGCTATTTCTGATGAAGGGACCCCTGAAAGTTCCAAAATGCTGTTGATTGATATGCTAAAGGAATGTCAAGAAAGGCCATTCTTATTGTTGAAGTTTAAAGCCGTATTAAACCCAAAAGCAAGCATTTATTATATTGCAGTTTACCAATTCTTAGATGTGGTGGCTGCATTATTTTTATTTCCTTTATGTTCACCTAATAATCTGGCGGTTAGAGTGTGGAGACAAAACCATTTAAAACTGACGGGGGTGTTTACAATAAGCTTTTATTCATGTAAGGCTCCATGCACAGTAGCATTTTTTTCTGCTCCTAGAAGCTAAATTGTGTTATCCTATGTGCCTATGCACAGTACTTTAGGCTATTTGCATTTTTTGAGCTTCAGCGTCTAGGAGCAGAAAAAAAATAGTTTTTGTAGCAATTTTCCAGAAGAAAAAATACTAAACGCTACTAAAACGCTCTTAACGGGTTTTTTCTAGCTACATGTACTGAAAAAACGCTAATGCTCCTAAGCACTTTTGAATGCTACTAAAAAACGCTATTAACGGCTTTTTTATCCTGCGATGGGTTTTTTCTTTTAGCTTAACAAAAGCGCTACTGTGCATATAGGTTTTTTTTTTTGTCTTTTGGGTAAAGATTTAAGGCTCCCTTAAATCTTTACCCAAAAGACAGAAAAAAACTATTGCTGTAACTACTTAACACTGTTAGCTACAGTTTGGCTTCAATTTGTTACTGTATCTGTACTCTGCTAGTGAATTTAACTCTACCCTACCCCATACTGATAATGCTGCTGTCCAAAGGTGTCTCTGTCCGTCCTTCACCCAGAGTATAGCCAGTCTAAAAGAGGAGATGTTTCATGGCCAGATCAGCAGGTAAAAACAGGTACAAAAAGCCTAAAAAAGAAAACTAATGCAGCCACCACATCTAAGGATTGGTATGCTGCAATATATTACATTTTTGGTTTGGAGTTTAATACTGCTTTAATTTATTGGCTGTGGCACCATGCAGGGGTTGCTCCAGCACCTTGCACTTGGTTGTATAGTGGTCATGTGTGCGATGGCGATATCTTTATGGCACACTTGCATTACAGTGCACAGTAAAGCATTACCAAAATGGTACAGGTTGGATTTCTAGTCAGTTAAGGTTTGCTGGCTTCCTATTCGGATGATTTGGCTGCCTTAACACCATGCATGGCGATACCAATATATAACATGCATTAAATGCCCCAATGCATCAGTTTGCTTTAAATCTACCCTGAACATATATGTTTTGCTTTAAACTGATTGCATCCACATTTAATCCACATCCATATCTAAAATGTTTTCTATAAACGACCATTTATTCACTTTGAAATAAAATAAATCAACCACCAGTATGTGAATCCCCCCCCCCCCCCCCCCCCCAGGAAGTCACACTTTCTCCCTAGAAAGTAAATTAATATAACAAACCTTTCTATCACCATACCACCTAAATAATGATCTGAATATAAACTAACTCAATACTCCCACAATCCGTAAATAAATCAATAATTAAATGAATAAATAAATATATATGATAAACCAAATATAAAATAAATTGTCCAACTAATTTTCAAAAAAGTCAGGCACAAATAATTATATATAAAAGTCCAGTAGGAAGGATTCCAATCCTATTTATATCCTCGTGGTACCTCGAAAAAAAGGAATACTAATATAGTGCATTATCTTTCAAATAACCATATAAAGTGCAAAATTAAATCCGTGCAAAATCCAAACCACTCCAACTGTGATTTCTAGTGATAATGCAAGGAAAAAAAAAAAAAAATAATAAAAATGTGTATGTGTGTGTATGTATATATGTGATGTGTGTGTGTGTGTGTGTGTGTGTGTGTGTGTGTGTGTGTGTGTGTGTGTGTGTGTGTGTGTGTATATATGTATATATATATATATATATATATATATATATATACACCTATATATATATACACCTATATATATATATATATATATATATTACAATTAAATAAATAAAGTGAGCACTTCAAAACAAACATACAGTGAACACTCCAAATAGTGATAATAAATACCATTACCCTCTGGTAGTATTCATAAGTTTATCCGATATCTCATGCGTGCGTCTAGGGGACGTGACGTTAAGACGCACGCACGGAAACTGGAAGTGCAGCCGCGGCCATTTTGACTGCTGGAGAACGTTTTTTTTTTCTATGCCCACTGACTGTAGGGCTGGTTTTGCTTGATACTAGGAGCTGATATTCACAAACCGCAATGTAAGTTATTTATTAAATTTATCCCTACACTCGGAAAATCTATTACAAGAGTCTTCTTTAACTTTATGAGGAATATGGAGGATGGGCTCCTGAGGTGAAAGATTACTTAGAAATTATACTGTTACCAGAGATATCGGATAAACTTATGAATACTACCAGAGGGTAATGGTATTTAATATCACTAGCAAACACAAATGCTCCTGCGCTTGGGGATGGACTCGATGCTACAACCACATTAAGAATGTCCTGGAACATGCACACCTTGCTGCCCTCAAATGGACCGGGGGAATCCAAACACACTGAATGGGGAAAGAACAAAAGAGGGCGCACAGGCCTAGTGCATTACCATAAAAAATGTTTAATAAAAAATAAAGTAGGTGTTGTACTCACAAACAACAATATAGTCAAGGCACATCATAAAAGAACAGCTGGATCAACACCGCGCTGAGTAACAGTCCGCAATAGGGAGTTTAGACATCCAAAAGCCTGACGCGTTTCGAGGACTTGCCTCTTCCTCAGAGCCAACTGACCAAATGTCTGCTCCCTCTTTTATATGCTCACTACTAGTTAAACCAAAGGTCACATGGGCCGTCCTGGACACTCCCCTGTGCAGGTGGAGGAGTCACAGGGGCAATCGACATAGTGTAAGTAAACACGAAAGGTCTATAAAAAAAAAAATATATATATATATGTATGTGTGTATAAATAAAACCATTGAAACTAGTGACAATCATAAAATCATATGAACCATAAGAAGTGTGCACAGTGAAAAATGAATAAATAAATGGAAAGTTACACATATATAAAAAATAATAAAAATCCTTCCCTGGTGATGCACTGCACTGCTCGCCTTTAAATAAATGGATGGATGGATGAGCAACGCTACAATGCTGCCTAGTGCTCTGCTTGCCATAGACAACCATGAGACATGGATTTAATATAGAGAGTAGAACTGAAACCCAGCAGAGACACTTATTTAATATCACTATTTGGAGTGTTCACGGAGTGTTCAAAAGTTAAGTGAACACTCAGTGACTACTTCAAAACATACAGTGAAGTGCTCACTTTAATTATTTAATTGAGATTATATATTTATATATATATATATATATATATATATATATATATATATATATATATATATATATAATATTTTCCCTCGCATTATCACTAGAAATCACAGTTGGAGGATTGGAATCCTTCCTACTGGACTTATATATAGAATTATTTTTGCCTGACTTTTTGGACTTTTTTTTGAAAATTAGTTGGACAATTTATTTTATATTTGGTTTATCACATATATTTATTCATTTAATTTATTGATTTATTTACGGATTGTGGAGTATTGGGTTAGTTTATATTCAGATTATTATTTAGGTGGTATGGTGATAGGTTTATTATATTCATTTATTCACTTTAACAGGATTCACATTGCAGTCAAAGCCATTGTTTTCTGCTGAGAGATGCATTAAATTACCTCAACATCTTGTGTAAAATAGCTTTTTTGCTTTTGCATTACAGTTACCATTGTCACGTGTATCCATACCCAAACTCCTCAGAGGAACGACAGGAGATAATATCAGGATTGAATACAAGAATTCAAGACTTGCAAGCGGTAAGCTGAGCTTGCAACCATGTTTAGGACCTCCTCCTGTCCTCTTATCCGTAACATAGATGGATGTGGGGTCTGCAATTCTCAGAACAATATGACAGATAGTAGTAAAGCATGGCAGAGAACACAAAGTTATCAGCTGACGAGTTCTAGCAAGTGGCACCCTCTTCCCAAAGGTGCTCTAGCATCTCCCCCTCTGTGTATTAAAAGCACCTCTGCCACTCAGGAGGCACCTTTTTTTTTTTTTTTTTTTTTTTTTTTTTATTCCATTTTTTTTATTGCTTGACTAAGGTGGATAGGCTAATGAATGACATACCGATCTCTGCCTCAGACAATTAGAGGAAACCTTGTATTCATTAACAAAAATACAAGGCTTCTCCTGAGTGGGGAAGGCACTAGAGCAAGCGACTCTGTTTAGGAGGATGCTGCTGGTGTATCCATTGAAAGAGAACACCACTTCCTGTATGCAGCATAAGCTACAAAAGTAAATTATAATTATACCATCGGTCACATGGACGTGGCACAATTAATTGCAAGCAGCAGGAAAAAAAAAAAAAAAAAAGAGGTGAAATAAAGCCTTCTGTAAATAAATGAGTTATTTTAGTTAGTACTGTCATAAATTCAGGTACCCTGTGAAGAGAAGTTGCTGATTTAGTGCAATGCAGAGTGCATAGTGCTGTAGTAATGACAACAAAATCTAACAGGTGGTGCTAGAAATCAATGGGACAATGGCACAAAGGTTGTGTTTGCAGCTAACCAATAATCACTGAATATACAGAATTTATCTTCATATTTTAGATATTATAAATAACAAATACAAAAAAACCCATACTTTCAGATGCACCATAAGTAAATGGAGCATAGTGTGGCTATACATATCCCAAACAACAACAATCCCAATAAACATCAAAAACATAGGACCAGAAAAGTATGAAAGAGAATTACAAAAATATAAATTTTATACACACAATACCAACATTTTAATAAATAGAACCTCCCAGACCCAACAATTTCCTACTATGTGATTAAAATAAAATGACATTATCTCCCTCCCTCAGCTGCACACATAGCTGCATGCATATACATTTTTAAGTTTGAGAGTTCCACTCATTAAATTTTGGTATTGTGTGATGCAGTAAAATTTTTTTTTTTATAAAATGTACACCTTTCTTGTCCTATGTTTTTGAAAACTTAAATATCGCCCTTTTTTGCACTTCTTTCCGTTTCTGTCTATGGCAAGAGCCTCATGCTTATTATTATCAGTCCTTGAAAGACAGAAGGTCAGTATCGCAGTAAAAGCGGTTTTGTTTTTATTTATTTTTTTCTATTTAGTTTTGTCTTTTAATGGGCTATTTAATATTTTTGGCTGGAGTTCTGTGTTAATAACCTACCCATCCTGGTGCTTATACTTGCCTTCTCTTTGCTCTCCTTCCACACACTGTGAAATATAGAGTGCTGAAGTTAGGAAGGAGCATATGAGATGCTCCTCGTTCCCATGATTGCAGTGCTGTGTGCTTGAGCAGCAGAGGATGGGAGAGGGATCCTAGTTCTGTGAAAGCTTTGACCAAATCAACATGGATCTTACATAGTGCCTTTTCTCTTTGTTCCAGTGCTTGGGCAATGCACAAATTCCCTTTAAGGGTTTTAAAATCCTAATAGACTTTGAAATGATTATTTTTGGCTGCATAACCAATGTTTCAATGTATAACTCAAATATATATTCTGTTCCTTGTAGGTGATCTCCCAGACTGAGGACTATCTCAGACAAGTTCTTTACAAGGCATCAGAGTCCATCTTCAAGTGGGTTATTCAAGTGAAAAAAATGAAAGCTGTTTACCATGTGTTGAATTTATGCAGTTTTGATGTCACCAACAAGTGTCTGATTGCTGAAGTATGGTGTCCTGTAGCCGATCTTCAAACTCTGAGACATGCACTTGAGGAAGGCTCAGTAAGTCCTTTTATTTGTTGTGATCTTTACTGCATATACTTCATTTATAGTTTTTATGTCCAATTTGTTATTTGTACTATTCAATAAACATGAAGTGTGTGTTTGCATGATTCAGCTAGCCTTAAACTGTACAATGGGCTGTAAAAGTATGTTTGGCCAGATTTTTCATGTGATTTTGTACAGTTTGAGAGATCAAAGAACAGAACTGTAACCATCACCAAACCCAACAAAATGTTTATATTGTTTTGCACTTTGTATGCAGTAACAGATTGTAGTCTACATTCAGTGTAGACACATAGTAGGTGTTGTGGAAAATTCTTATGCTATAAATCACTAGAGTAATTCATGGGAGCTCTTTTTAAATTTCAGTAATTCTTGTTGTTTGTTTTATAGCTTTTATTCTACCCAATTTTTCTAGTGATGGCTGGATCAGTTATATTACTAAACTGAGAAATCAGATGATAATGCCCTCTTATGTATGTTTTATATTAGTGCATGGGCTCATTACAGATCACGCATGCAGGGATGAGTAGATCTTCTTGTGCTCAGAATTGCAGGGATGATCTGACAGAGAATATCAGGGCACAGGCTTGATATTCATAGACCCTGCGTTATATATGTATAAGTGATTGGACACTGCCAAACCTTTTGAGGACTCGACCCCTGGGTATTCCCCTTTAAATCTACCCTACTCTGTGAGTCGCCAGTTTTTTGCTAGTGATGAACCTCTTCTCTCTTACAAATGAATCACTCTTAGCTTCACTAATTTATTGGTTTACTCAACCAACATTTTAATCAAACTCCACACATAATACAACAATGAGGCAGTACCTCCAGATCGTTGGGACCTCAGTAAAACCTTGGGAGCTGTACCCAGGCGGCCTGAAAAGTTACTTTGTATACTGGTTACTGCTTTGACGCTCACCTTGGCATTTACAGGTCCAGGGCCATGGTCCCTCTCTATTTCAGACTCTCAACACCCAACCAGGGCTATGCCCATTATGATGGGTAAAGACTTGTCTCTTTGTAGGGACCAGAGATGTAGACCGGTAAGACAGGGTCACTCTTTATCGCTGATCATTACTGTAGTATCATAGCAAACACAAGATATATTACCTCCATTACTTTCTTTGCACTATTTATGTGTATCCCTAATAGTATGTGTTCACATGTAAAAATTATCTGAAAAAATTAGATTTGTGTGGCATTCATTTTTTACAGTGTAAATTTTTCAAAGTTGACACTAACATTCAACCACTCAAAGCTAAGTGTTAGGTGGATAAAAAGGTGTTGTGTCACACTGCAGGTCGCACAGTTTCTGGCGCTCCAGCCTTACTTAGGCACTTCCTCCTACCCTAGACACACCTACTTGTCTCCTAACAAAGGGAGTAAGCACCTTTGACAGGTACAAGAAGTCTGCTGGCTCTTTGTTCACCACCATTAGGTGCAGATGCATGTTCTAATGTTAAGATTTTGACATGCATGTGACCACATATTATATCTCTCTACACTATCACTAGATTTAACATGTGATGCTTATTTTGTTAACCCATTCAGTAAGGCACCTAACATTGGGATTGTTTACCTTTTTACCACATATCTATGGCTGGAATAGGATGTTTGGGGCGGGGCTTAGCTTATCTGCTTCACACTGATTGGTGGATAGTTCTTTAAATAGTTTTTGTTCTGCCACATATTGTCACATGCCCGATGAAGGGGTCCTGCGAGACTCTGAAACGTCGCAGTTGCTGTAACTATGTGATTGCATATTTAAGCTTTGGACCCATAACTGGAGATCCTCAGTGTGCTGGTGACATACTTCCCACCTGTATCACACTGCAGGTCACACAGTTTCTGGCACTCCAGCCTAGAGCCCTTTTACTTAGGCATTTCCTCCTACCCATTTACCATGAGAACTTTGCTACAGGACGATCTGCACTCTGGTTTCTCCTTCTCAGACACGCTTACACCCTACTCCATAAGTACTCCACAGGGGAATAACCTCATTGGTTGCAGAGGAGGACACCAAGCTTAAAGGAGCAGTGGCAAAAGCTCAGGCTCTGTGGGTGGCCTGAAAATCACTCAAACCACTTAGTGACAATGGATTCCTTTCAGCGGGACAGAGCTCCATTTTAACACAGGTCTCTGCAGCTGTTTCTGCCTCTATCTTAGGCATCCAACAAGCTGTATTCCTTACAAAGGCAGACTTTTCTGCAACTATGTCACAGTTTCCTAAACAACTAATGGCTTTGTCTTAGGCCTAAAAACGCCAGGTTCCTTCTCCAGCGCCACCGTCTCTACCTGAGTCCAATCCGATATTATCACCCTAGATCAGACAAACATAGAGGGGAAAAAAGAGGATACAGAATCTGTTTTGGAGACGGTCTTCGAAGATTCCTATCCCCCATCTACTACTTCTATTTGTTTTCCAAACTGCAGCTAATTGGACTAGGGTAATGAAATGTACCTTAACTTTGCAATTACCCTCTGCCTTGCTTTTTTGTGTAGATGCCTTAGAACAAGTTATGACTCAAATCTCCAGAATGGCTCTGACTTCTGTTCATATGCACAGAATATTGTGGCTCAAAGCCTGGTCAGCTGAGGCTACTGGTGAAAGACTCCTCACACATATACCCTTTGAAGGAGGACTTCTCTTTAGTGTGGCACTGGACAAATTAATTAAAGTTTTCACAGGTGGAAAGGTTCCTGCCCACCTAAGGGGCCTCTACCTCTTTAAAATGCAGATCACCTCAATCTTCTACCCAGGCTTCAACATCTAAGCCAAAGTCAGCCCTCCCTTTTGGCACAATACTTGGCTCACAAAGACCCCCCCCCAAGTCTTCTCCAAAGCCGTCCTCCCAATGAAGAGGCGACCTCATGCTAAGTAGTGGAGCAGGGATGTCTGTCAGTTTTCCTGGTTTGCTTATCTCTCATGTCCTAGACCTCTGGGTTCAGTCCTTTGGTTTGTTCACAGTCCAAAAATCCAGTGGGGTTTTTCATCCTATCCTGGACCTAAAATCTCTAAACAAATACCTGCAAATTCTGTAGTAATTGGCATCCATAAGATATCCAAGGTGCCTGCAAAGGTACTTGAATTTCTTCTAAGAACTCTCAGGGCATCCAGGTCACAGGTTATCTAGACAACTTTCTTCTGAAGGACTACTCTCCCTTCCACAGGAAATGTTCACAGGACCATTAAGATGCTGATCTTGTTGGCATAAAACATAAAAGCATGCTCCTTCTCTTGACGTGTCCATGCTCCTGTCCAGCCAAACAAGGAACTCCCAATCTTAATGGTTTTCCAACCCAATCTTGACATGAGGGAAGCTATTTCTGCCATACCACTGGAAGGTGAGAACAATATATGCCAGTGTCTTCTGCTGGTGAGGAGTATTCAAACCCTCACAGTCCAGGAAACAGGAAACATGGTCACCGGAGGTCAGATCTTGGAGCTCAGAGCAATCAACATGGCTCTGCAGAAAGGGACCCTCGTTTTTCAGGGACAACCAATCAGGGTGCATTCAAACATTGCCACGGCAGTGGCCTACATCAAATCATCCTCTTGCTTTCCTTTCCTTTATAAAGACCTTTTATTCAAGGTGTCTCTCTGATCAAACCTCCTTACAGCACCCTGAGCTAACTTGGCATCTCAATTTTGCTCTCTTTTTTTCTTTTTTTTTTTTTTTTCCCCATTTAAGTACAATCAATTACCTACCATAAAAAATAATAGCCCCAGCAATGTATGGATAACCCTGGTGGGGGCCAGAGCCTCCACCAACCGAAAAAGACATATCATTGGATTCAGGGGTTCCAATCACCTCCATGAGCACAGGTGTATAAAATCAAGCATCTAGGCATGCAGACTGCTTCTACAAGCATTTGTGAAATAATGGGTTGCTCTCAGGAACTCAGTGATTTCAAACGTGGTACCGTGATAGGTTGCCACCTGTGCAGTAAGTCCATCTGTGACATTTCCTGGCTACTAAATATTCCACGGTCAACTGTTAGTGGTGTTTATAACAAAGTGGAAGCAACTGGGAACGACAGCAACTCTGCCACGAAGTGGTAGGCCACATAAAATGACAGAGCGAGGTCAGCACATGCTAAAGTACGCAGAAGTCGCCAACTGTCTGCAGAGTCAATAGCTAAAGACCTTCAAAATTCCTGTGACCTGCAGATTAGCACAACAATGGGTAGAGAGCTTCATGAACTGGGTTTCCATGGCTGAGCAGCAGCATCCAAGCCTTACATCACCAAGTGCATTGCAAAGCTTCAGATGAAGTGGTGTAAAGCACGCCAGCACTGGACTCTAGATTAGTGGAGACTTGTTCTCTGTAGTGATGAATCTTGCTTCTCTGTCTGGCAATCCAATGGATGTGTCTGGATTTGGTGGTTGCCAGTGGAACAGTAATTGCCTGACTGCAGTGTGCCAAGTGTAAAGTTTGGTGGAGGGGGGATTATGGTGTGGGATTGTTTTTTCAGGTGTTGGACTTGGCCCCTTAGTTCCAGTGAAGGGAACTCTTAAGGCGTCAGCATAGCACATTTTGCACAATTTCATGCTCCCAACTTCGTGGGAACATTTTGGGGATGGGCCTGTCCTGTTCCTACATGACCGCACACCAGTGTTTAAAGCAAGGTCTATAAAGACATGGATGAGCAAGTTTGGGATGGATGAACTTGACTGGCCTGCAGAGTCCTGACCTCAACCCTATAGAACACCTTTGGGATGAATTAGAGCAGATACTGCGAGCCAGGCCTTCTCATCCGACATCAGTGCCTGACCTCACAAATGCATTTCTGGAAGTATGATAAAACATTCCTACAGACACATTCCTAAACCTTGTGGACAACCTTCCCAGAAGAGTTGAAACTGTTATTGCTGCAAAGGGTGGGCCAACTCAATATTGAACCCTATGGACTAAGACTGGGATGCCATTAGAGTTCATGTGCATGTAAAGGCACTAAATACTTTTGGCAATATAGTGTACATCCACCTGCTGCGGAATAGGCATGATTGTTAAACGTGTAACTAACTGGAGGGCTTTCGACCTGAAAACTTGATGAGATGGACAAGACCATAGCATGTGAATATAGTGTGCTGGCTCTGCTTTACAGTGCCAGCAGTGGGAAGGGCAGTTAGGATGGATCCTGTGCAATCTGTGGGGCATTAAAAAGAATCTATGCAGGATTTTAAACTGAATCAATCGATCCATAGAAGATAAAAGTTGCAAAATGGGTATTCCCATATGTCCTCCCAATCCTCACTGTCCAACTTCGCTAACTCAACCATCCAGAAGGTCCTCAAAGCATCCAATACATGATGTTTTGTAGGTTGCAGGGTGTTCTAAATATTTAAAAGGGTTTTTTTTTAAGTGTCTTGTCCCGGAGAAGCGATTCCACATCAAATTGTACATTCCAGGGGGAACTGCCAGATTGTGAGGAGAAAGTGTGACGTAGTTGGAGGAAACGGAAAAAATAAGAATTAGAAAAACTGAACTGCTGCTTTAAACTATCAAGGGTCTTTAGGACTCCATTCTTGCACATGTGGGCTAAGTAGCGCATGCCACCAGCAGCCCAAAGGGATAGGTTTGGGTATAGTAGAAAAAAAAATCAGAAAGCGTTGGGTTCATCCAGAGAGGTGTATTGGAAGAGTAATTCCTAGAAGAATTCCCTTCAGGAAAAGTGACCCGAGTCAAGACCTTAATAACTGTTTTAACCTCCCTAGCGGTCTGATTATGTCAGTATTTCTGTGCTCAAAGTGGTACATTGTTTTGCATGGAAATATGTAGTTTTTTTTATTGTAGGCCTGTAATTTGTAGGAATAACTCACTGAAATCTGTCCGAACAAGAGTCTAGTAAATATCCCAGGTATGTTAAAATTTGAAACACGAAATCTTAAATTATAATTTAATAAATAAATAATCATAAAAAATAATATAATAATAAATTTAATTAAATAATATAATCAAACAAAAACACTGAAATTTGAAATATAGCGTCAAGTTTGCAAATCAAAGTGTCAAAATTGTTTTCAGTGTCTGATGATGAATTTCCCCACAAATCATCACTCAATTCTGCAAGTAGTTCTAATTTACTATCGCTGTTCTCTAGGTAGTCTAAAACCGCTTTTGACCTAAAGGGACACTTTTTGGACGCCATGGGCATTTCTCAGTTTCAAGGCAGAAAGAACAGTAAAAATGCAGGCAGGGCGCAGGACAAAGCACTTTGGACAAAATGTATGTGAAATGGTTTGATACAGTAATGTTTTACTATGTGATTTTAGTGAATGTCACTTTTTGCCATTTTTAAATTTCCTGCCAGTTCCGTCCCCGTACGACCTGACGTCGCAGGGAACGGAACCCAGAAGATGGATGCTGGCATCGGCCGGAGGACATTGCTGGGGACATTGCAGGAGGGACATCGCGGGAGCGAAGGACAAGGTAAGTGAAGAAGAGATCTCGGAGCAACGCTGCAAGGTATTCCCGAGTGTAGCTCGGGGTTTTCCGCTTGTGGTGCTGAGCTGCACTCTGGAATACCTCCCTTTCAACCCATCAGTGAAATCCCCTTGCGTGACTTTTCTTGCTAAATAGTTTTCTTGGTGGTTATTACATCCATCAGACATGTCTCTGAGCTGATGACTCTTTTGTAAAAAAGTAAAGAGCCATTCCTCTTTCATCACATGAGGAATGTGCCCAAGACCCCCCCCCCCCCCCCCCCTTTCTTTTTAAGATGGTATCAGTCTTCTACCTCAATTTAGATGTAATCCATCCCTCTCTGGGACCTACCCAGACATCCAAAGGAAATTACTCGTCACTACCTGGACGTGGTCAGAGCTATCAGAGTCTACCTCAAAGCTACAGTTTCTATCAGGAAGATTAACTCCCCATTCATCCTACCATCAGGACTTTTGCAAGGGATATCCTGCTGCAAAATCTATCATCATTAGAAAAAGAGGCAACTTTTCTAATTTTTTTTTTTTTTTTACACTTTGTTAGGCTGCCACGTGGTCCTCTGTTTATACCTTTTCAAAGTTCAGAGTGCCAATACAAGGTTTTTGCAGGAGCACTCTGTAATTGGATCTGTTCATTCTGTTGGCACAGTTCTGTTTTCCTATCATTGCCCACAATTCTTACTTATTGCTTGGGGATGTCCCAAGGCCTATGAATATCAAGCCTGTACCTGTAAATTCTATATCTTGGAGTACGGTATGGGGTACAGGCCTCCTTCACGTCTAATCCTGTGTTACACTGCATTGCTTGTTACAAATCTGAGGACTCACAGAATGGGGTAGGAATATAGGGGGATGGCCAGGGTGCATGTACTTGAAAGTTTTGACAGTGTTCAATCACCTGAAGGTACCAGTCTATAACCCAGGGTCTATGAATATCAAGCTTGTGTCTTGGGATTTATAGGCAAGTCAAAATGCATTTTTTTTTATTAAACCCAAAGCCAAAAATGTAACATTGCAGCTTTAATTTTTATTTTTTTTTTTTTAGGATTTTTCCACATGGTGATTTAGCCAGTAACATACCTCCTGTATTAGAGTGCCTCCACGCTGGATGGAGGAGCATAGGGGCACCTTTTGGACAGCAGCTTTGTCAGTCTGGGAAGAGGCGAATGTTAGATACATTAGCAGATTTAAATACACAAACAAATTGAAGCCAAACTCCAGCTAATACTTTATAAGCCGTTACAGCAACAGTTTTTTTTTTGCTTTTTGGTATAAAAGTTTTACATAGTAAAAGCTGATCATTGTAAGCACCCCTGTCAATGTTAAAATGGTTTCTCCCATCCCTGTAACTGCTACATCTGCAGGAAATCTTCTTTTGAAAAACAAACCTACTTACTGGATCACCAGTTGAGAATAAAAGAATTAGTCTAAAAAAGGAAACTAATGCAGCCATAAAATCTAAAAATTGGTAAGCTGCAATATATTAAATGTTTGCTTTTGGGTTTAATACTGCTTTAAGGAAGCACATTGTGGTCTGTAGCCATTGCATGCCTTCTTGCAAAACTACTGGTTAGCTGTCTGTCATGCTGATTCTTTAACGTCAGTACTTGTGAGTCACTGTCGTAGTAGAAAAAAAAAACTGCCGATTAGGAATTCTAATCTAGTTTACTACATGCTTGTGGCATATAAAAACCCAGAGCCAAAAAGCAATATGGATTTTCAGAAGCAGGTATTAATGACAGCCTGTGTATGTCTTTCAGTAAAGGTTTCCTTTTAATAAATAACAAGACCTGTAGTTCATTCTCATATGGTTACTGATAAAAGATGAGCAAATTTTAAATAAAAAAAGCCCCACCATTTATAGTAGCATAATCATGAGAACGTAAGATTTGTGCATCACACCTAGTGTCCTTTCATTAAAAAAACGGCTTTCATTGAAAAGTTTATACAGGAGGAACAAAAATTTGTCATATTAGCTTAATATTTTTTATGTACTTTTAATAAAAGCTGTATTTTAACTAGTAGTGGTCATATAATACAGTTGATGGTGTTCACTGCAGGATCTTCAAATCTCTGTGCTTATGCTGGTATAATACCAGGGCTATCCTTTGTTGCAGGTTTGCTTGCTGGTTTGCTGTAGCCCATGCACCACTTTAGCATGGACAGTATTCATAAGAGCATACCTATCCATTTGCAAAAAGGTGTTTGTAGAAAATCTGATATGTTAAGAAGTGTCCCTTTCTTAAAAGTCAGTTACATGAAAGTAAGGAAAAATATGCAGACTATTACAAGCTGAGCTATAATAGTGTGATACATATCTTCCCTACAAGTGGTCGGTTTCTAAATTCATAAAAGCATCTGACATTCTTTTGTTATCTGCTAGAGAAAAAGTGGAGCTTTCTATACCTTCTTTCATAAATCGTATCCCCACCAATGATACACCTCCAACATTAATCCGAACAAACAAATTCACCTCAGGCTTTCAAAGCATTGTGGATGCCTATGGAGTGGGAACTTATGGAGAAGTGAACCCAGGTAAATTTATTTAGGATCTTTTAACTGTTTAAAGCCCAAATCTGAGCTCAATTCCTCAACAGCTGATAACCCCTTCCCCTTTTCCTGTAGTTGCTCCTCTGTATGTATGTTTTTTTTTTTTTTGTTTTTTTGTTTTTTTAAATAATACACTTACATTTTTCCAAAGCTCTTTATTGAAGGTAGTATATCACAGTCACAATTTTTTTTTTTTTTCTTTTAACACTGTCCTGGACAAGAAAAATTATTGTATTCTGTAGTGCATAGAATGGTAGCATTATTAGTTTTATTTAAAAGGATAATAATATTTTTTTTTCTTGACCATTGAGGAATCTTGACTATCTGGTTATACTGCTGCCTACAGGAGGATTGGACACTGGCAAACAAATTGTGGGCCGTCCCAGGATAATCACCTCCTACTCCCAGCATGCCTAAGAGGATAGAAGTCTAAATCCTAAGAGGATAGAAGTATTTTTCTCTGTTCTAAGAAAAGTCTACTTTTTTTTTTCTTCAGTCAAGATTCTTGCTATATCGCTGCTGAGTTTATCTTTATATTCAGCTATCCAGATTGGCATTTTTGCAGCCTCTCATTCCCAGAGCCACTGGACTGAACATGCAGTTCTAGCCTGGAATGTAAGCTTTGGGCACAGCACTCGGCATTGTTGCAATTTTCAGACCTGCTTGTACTGGTAAAAGTTGGCTAAAGAGCTCTTTCCTAATCTAAAGGCTGTGGCAAAGCATCAGTGCATGACCCTCTCTCTGAAGATTAACTTTGTGAGTAGACCATGTGGGTTGAGCACCCGGACTTACCTCACTTCTTGTATCACTGTGCTCCTTTTACACTTTCCTCTTTCTGTGGAGAAACTGACAGAAAGTAGTGAATGCTAGAGTTTTACTTCCAGCCCTTCCAAAATTCATTATTTCCAACTTGCCTGTGTCACCGCACAGATTAGCTGATCTTCATTTAGCCCTAGCAGGTATCTTGTTGCAGGACATCATTGTCCCAATCCCTGTGGCAGGACAATTTCAGGGGTTCTACTCCAACCTGTTCAGTTACCAAACCTAAAAGGGGCACCTGCCCCATTTTGGATCTTGAGACCCTAAATGTTTTCATTTGGGCCCAGAGGTTCAACATGGAATCCACCAGGTCTGAATCCCTATATTATCAGGGAGACTTTCTGTCCTTTGTGAATATTAAGGATACGCATCTGTGCGTCCCACTTTTGCCATGCAAATGTGGGTTCTCTACACTACCAGTTTGTGTCCAGGTCATTTGGCCTTTATTCTGTACCTCGTGTTCACAAAGGTGCTGACTCCTGTGTTAGCCTTACTGTGTTCTTAGGGTATTCCTATTTTGGGATATCTAGATGACCACCTGCTGAGGAAAGAGCTGGCGCTGGTTCTGGTGGACAATGTACAGTGGATATAAAAAGTCTACACACCCCTCTTAAAAAGTCAGGTTTCTGTGATGTAAAAAAAATTAGACAAATTGAAATCATTTCAGAACTTTTTCCACCTTTCAACCTATAAACTGTACAACTCAGTTTAACAACAAACTGAAATCTTTTAGGTGGAGGGAAGTAAAAATAAAAAACTAAAATAATATGGTTGCATAAGTGTGCACACCCTTAGACTAATACTTTGTTGAAGCACCTTTTGAATTTATTCCAGCACTCTTTTTGGGTATGAGTCTATCAGCATGGCACATCTTGACATGGCAATATTTGCCCACTCTTCTTTGCAAAAACACTCCAAATCTTTCAGATTGTGAGGGCATCTCCTGTGCACTGCCCTCCTCTTCAGATCACCCCACAGATTTTCAGGCTCTTGCTTGCACATTCCAAAACTTTTATCTTTTCTTTTGGTGAAGCCATTCCTTTGTTGATTTGGATGTATGCTTGGGTTGTTGTCATGCTGAAAGATTAAGTTTCTTTTCATGTTCAGCTTTCTAGGAGAAGCCTGAAGGTTTTGTGCCAATATTGGTTGGTATTTGGAACTGTTCATAATTCCCTTTACCTTGACTAAGGCCCCAGTTCCAGCTGAAGAAAAACGGCCCCAAAGCATGATGCTGCCACCATCAAGCTTCACTGTGGGTATGGTGTTCTTTTGGTGATGTGCAGTGATGTTTTTGTGCCAAACATATCTTTTGGAATAATGGACAAAAAGTTCAACCTTGGTTTCATCAGAGCAGAACACATTTTCCCACATGCATTCGGGAGACTTCAGATGTGGTTTTGCAAAATTTATCCGGGCTTGGATGTTTTTCTTTGTAAGAAAAAGCTTCTGTCTTGCCATTCTACCCCATAGCCCAGACATATGAAGAATATGGGAGATTGTTGTCACATGTACCACACAGCCAGTACTTGCCAGATATTCCTGCAGCTCCATTAATGTTGCTGTAGGACTCTTGGCAGCCTCCCAGACAAGTTTTCTTCTTGTCTTTTCATCAATTTTGGAGGGACGTCCAGTTCTTGGTAATGTCACTGTTGCACCATATTTTCTCCACTTGATGATGACCATCTTCACAGTGTTCCATGGTATATCTAGTGCCTTTGAAATTCTTTTGTACCCTTCTCCTGACTGATACCTTTTAACAATGAGATCACTCTGATGCTTTGGAAGCTCTCTGCTTTTGTGTAGGATGCGACTAAGAAAATGTCAGGAAAGACCTACTAGAACAGCTGAACTTTATTTGGGGTTAACCAGAGGCACTTTAAATGATGGCAGGTGTGTACTGACTCCTATTTAACACAATTTTGAATGTAATTGCTTAATTCTGAACACAGCTACAACCTCCGTTTTAAAAAGAGGGTGTGTACACTTATGCAACCACATTATGTTAGTTTTTTATGTTTACTCCCCCCTAAAATATTTCAGTTTTCTTTTCAATTGCGTTTATACAATTTATAGGTCACATTAAAAGTGGAAAAAGTTCTGAAATGATTTATCTTTGTCTTATTTTTTTACATCACTGATCTTGCAAGAGGTTCAGCTGTATACTGAACTATAAAATATCAGCGCAGGAGCTTGCAATACAGTGTGTTGGTCTAATAAACACAGTTCAAGCCAGGGTTTTTTTTTTTCCCCCAAGAGAAACTTAAAATTTTCCACTCCCAAACTCGCATTGTTTAGATGGGAAGTCATCAGACTCTTTGCTTCTGCATGAGACTTCCAGGGCTGATGTTAGCCTTCGCCAAGGTTGTCCCAATGCAACTTTTTGTTGTTGTAGCATAAAGCCTGGTACACAATATAAGTTTGTTTTTTTTTTTTTTTTTTTTTTGTTTTTTTTTTCATTCAACCCCACAGGCTGAATGAAAAAACTTAGATTGCTGTACTATCACAAGCGATGTTAGTGCAGCAATCTCCCCCTCTGTACTATTGTGTTTTAACAGACAGAAACCGGTTGTGAGATCAGCTTTTGTCAAACAGGCAGCTGAAAGTCGGGCAGTTTCTTCTGTACTGGCTAATTTTGGCCAATATTTGCCCGTGTGTGGCCGGCATAAGTCTGTCCAGTCCTTGAGCAGACTGATTCACATGGAGGTCAAATGGGGGGGTTGGTCATTTGATCTAGATTCAGTTGGACAACACCAAGGGGAGAGGGAAGAACCGGACGTATCATCATGACAAGAAATGTAGAATGGATCTTGTTCTAGAGAGAACCAATTTGTCATCAAGCACAGGGATCCTCTAGTGGAAGCAGCGGATGCTCTGGTGTCTCCCTGGGATCAGTGCACCCTGATCTACACCTTTCCTCCCCGAAACACCTTCCTTATCTGCTTCACATAATCAAGATTGATGCCATTCCAGTGATCCTCAAACTTCAGGGCTTCCCCAGGTGGAAGTGCTACTTTGGCATAAGACTCATACAAATGTTCTGTGGACTGTTTCTGATTATCTGGATCATCAGTCTCAAATTCTTATTTATCACACTGCTTCACAGTTGCTGTATTTAATGACACAGCAGTTCAAGCCCAGATTCTGAGAGATGGACATCTTTGAATAGGTCATCCCCACAACACTAAACGTCCACTTCTCGCAAGATCTATTACCATACGGTAATACTTCACAATTTTTATGAACATGTGCAGTTTTAAGGATTGATGCGTTTGGTATCTATTTCTCAGTGCAACCTAAGCCTTTTATATTTTAAAATGTGTTTGTGTGAACTAAAATTAATGTTTGTGTATTTTGACTGAAAATTTTCAACTACAACCATTTTTATATTTCAGGGTCCCTGCTTTCAGAAAATATATAACGTGGGGGTTTTCTATTCTTCAGGCTTGAGATGAGCATTTCAACATGGGTACAAAAATGACTCTGACAATGACAGGGTTAAAGGTCAGGTCTCTGAGCTGCCGATCTTGTTCCAGAGTCTGCCGGCTTCCCATTTATTGATCAAGACCTTTTTGTGTGGTATATCTCATGTGTCTCTTCCTATTTTTTCCCTTGGGACCCTATGGAATCTGAATTTTGTTCTACTGGCAATTCAAAACCTGTTTTACCTATAAAGTATATTCTATTTTCACTCACAAGCTTCTCTTTCATTTGGCTGTCACTTCTGTGAGGTGAGTGAGCTGGCACCCAGTAAAAAAACCTTTTCTTGTTTCACAGCACAAGGTGGCCTCGAGGCCCCGAACTTCCTTCTTATTTAAGGTAGTTGTGACCTTTCACATCAACCGTGACATCATTCTTCCATCCCTCTGTCTGGCTCTAGTTCTTCTGTAGGGGGTTATTGTCCATTGCTTGGATGTAGCTTGTGTTGGGAAAGTTTACCTCACAGTCACTGCTTCCTTTAGAAACGCTAACTCTTTGTCATTCCTGGTGATCCCCATAAAGGTGAACTAGCTTCTCATTCCACCATTTTTCAATGGTTCATATCTTTCATTATCCAGGTTTGTGATCTTGAGGTTTGTGTACCACCCTTTCCTTTCCTTTCAGGACACATTCCACTAAGATAAGTGTCTTTTCGGCTTTTTGACTTAAGGCTATTTTCTCAGGCTCTTCAACCTGAGAGATTATTCCACACCTTGTATTCTAGCCTTCGTACAGTTGCTTCTTGACCAGAATGTGGCACATAGAGGTACCCCCAGTATCTCTACATGCTCACTTCATCAGGGCAGTTAGTCTCCTGGGCCTTTAGACTTCAAGCTTCTGTTGCTCAGCTTTGTAAGGCTACTACCTGGTCTTCAGTTCATACCTACTCCAAGTTCCACCAGGTTGATATCCAGGCATCTGCAGATGTAGCAATTGGATGCAAGGTTCTTTCAGTGGCTCTTTGAAGTGAGTCTTTGATCCTTGTCCTTTTTTGTTGGGTCTTGTTTGGGGATGTCCCAGGATCTATGAATATTCAGCTTGTGTCTTGTACTGTATTATTTATATTAAAAGAATGTTGACTTGTCTGTAATTGTCATACCTAAGTATAGAAGACCAGGCACCCTCCCCTTTGTTCCTGCAGTCCCATCGCTTGCTAAAAACCTGTGGTCTCATGGAGTGGGTAGGGTTACAAGGGTACGCCCCAGAGGCGGGTTCAAGAAGCTTTGCCAGAGTCCTATCACCTGAAGGTAGCAGCCTGTAACCCAAGGTTTATGAACTTTGAACCTTTTATCCAAACACTTTTTTTTTTTTTTTTTTTTTTTTTTTTCCTATTCCCTGTCTTCACATTCGCTGGACAGTTTGGTCTGCATGAAATTATAAAGACACTTAATACATGCATTACATTAATTCATGCAGTTAATTAAATCATTGATTGCGTCTGTACAGTTGTAACCTGTCATCTGACGTTTTTTTATGTGTGTGTTTTTTTTTTTTTTGCAGCTCCCTATACTATCATCACATTCCCTTTCCTATTTGCTGTTATGTTTGGAGATTTTGGACATGGACTTTTAATGGCTCTGTTTGCTTTTTTTCTGGTTCTCTATGAAAACAGTCCTAAATTACAGCGCACTCAGGATGAAGTAAGCAAGTTTTGTTCTTTGACATTCACTTTCTAATTGGCTCCCTGTTGCATTTTTATTTACTGTACTTCTATTTTATATACATTTGTTTCAAATAACAGAACAAATACTGCATATAACCATTTCTAAATCATGCCTGTATCTGAATTATCTATATATTTTCTTACTGACCCTACACACTCAAATTCACAAGATTCAGTAATTACTATATAGTATGATGCCTAGATGAATAACTTATTCACAATATTATCTTTAGTTATTTAGAACCTAACACTAGCGACTGATTGTTGCTAGTTTCTTTGAGATCAAATCTGAAGCAAATTCTGACCAGCAAAAACAGGAGAAACTGTCACAGACTGCTTAGAGACCCCCACCATCAGATTCATTGTATGATTTAATATGCACTTTGCTCCTAAATCCTGTTGTGGGCTGACAACATGCATCATTTTTGTGGAGTGAGTGGTGTCAGCCCTGCTCAGGTGTCTTTGCTAAACTACTCAAACCCTCCTACACACCACCTTTACAACATGGATGCTAGTTGTTCTGTATTCCAAGATAAGGACTAAGTAGAACTGAACAGACTCCTTGACATAACACAGGGAAGTGTGCACAGGATCCCTTGCAATATGAAGCATTTTGCACTTTTTTTTTTTATTAAATTTTAATAGAGCACCTTGGCAGAATCTGACTCTGTGGTGAGCTCAAGATGGTGGTTCAGGAGGGAGGTGCTCGCTCATTCTGTTACCCTTTCTTTTCCTAGCCTACTGGGCTGCATGCTTGGATAGGGGTCTGGTATGGATTTTGGGGGGACCCCCATGCTGTTTTTAGAATTTAAGTTCCGGCACTTTTTTTGTTTACATTTCTGCTGTCAGTGTCGAACCCTGCTGACAGTTATGGTTGTTAAGGATGCAGCCGCCACCCGTTCCTTAACAACCATGTTATTTACTGGTTGTTAAGAATCCTTGCAGGTGCTGGATCCTCAACAACTAGTGCTAACTGAATATATTCCTTGAATAATGCGTGGTTAGACCACAACTTATTCAATGAATGCATTTATTTATATAGTTTAGCGAATTGAGTGACTTGTTTATGCTGTATCTACCGTGTGTTTTTTACTAGTTGTGGTAATACCGCATAAACAGTAAATTGACATTTTGAATATCGCATGAGATATGGAACTGGAAAAAAGGTGTAACATGATCCTTTTATCCCGTGCGATTATTCTTTAGTGAATTAAACCCACAATCCTACAGTTTTCTTCCATAGACTTCTATTTTGTTTACTGTACATGTTTCAGAACATACACACACTAGACTGAGTAGTTTATAGTGTTTTCCCTCATTAACAGATTATGAGGATGTTTTTTGAAGGACGATACATTATCCTGCTCATGGGGCTTTTTTCTATCTACACTGGGCTTATCTACAATGACTGCTTCTCAAAGTCGGTGAACATATTTGGATATAGCTGGAATGTTTCTGTGATGTATACGTAAGTATACAGTTATGAATGTATATTGTAAACACAGCTTATATATTGTCTTACATTTCCAGTAATTATAAATATAAGAAACTTATTCATGCAGCACATATAGATAAAGCCAAAGCAGGTTGTTATAGTTTGTATTAGTACACTATGTACAGCATGTGTTATATTTACAGTATAGATCATTTTTATTTTGGTATGTATGCATGTTCACAGAATAGTCAGACCTCTGTTTTTTTTTTATTTTCCCCAGGAAGGCAGATTTTCTTTCCAACCGGTATTTGACTTTGGATCCTAATGTACCTGGAGTTTTTACTGGAGTTTATCCCTTTGGAATAGACCCAGTAAGTGCCTTTTGTAATTTCTTATGTATGCTTTTGTTTATTTCTTCTATTGATCTTGGTTTTAAAATTTTAGTTCTTCGTTTTCTTGGACACCTAATGCATGTCACCATTTTTTTTAGAAGGATAGATCAGGTTGCTTTACTTTTACCTATGCCTTCTTTCGGCTTCTCGATCACACTAAATGTCCTTTATTTCCTGACACAATTTAATTTATTTTATTCTGCTAGCTTTTTTTTATACCATTTTATATTGTATCTTTTTGTTTTGTTTCTCTCTCTCTCTCTCTCTCCTTTTACTTAATCATTCTACCAGTACCACACTTCCTGACCACTTACTCTGCTTTAGCTATGGGGGAGCACTGTTGTCACCCTAGGCTACTCTCTTTATTTAGCCTATAAACCTGTTCTCCTGTTTTCATCCATTGCATGGAGTTGCATGAAGTTTACAGAACTTAGTATAGAAAGCAGATTAAATTGTTTGAGATATATGTTCAGTTTGCATGAAGTGATAATGAGCACTGAATTTAATAAGTAAGCATATAATAAGTGTACTTGCCTTAAAATCATCTTCTTCAAGTCCATCGAAAGATGTAGGAATTTAGAAACATTTGGGTTATTCTGCCACCTACAGGGAGGATGGTTCACTAACAAATAGAAAACGTTCTAAGCCAGCCACCCTATAATCCTTTTACCCAACATGCCTCCGTTTACTGAGCAAGCAGTATATCGTACTAAACAAAGGGGTTCACAAATGGCATTCCTCAATGAAAAATACCAGATGCATGTTAGCATTGCCAAAGCAGTTGAGGAATTATTATTATTATTATTATTATTATTAGTTGGAGGGGGTGGTAGGAATAAATCCTAGGATATTATTACGGGTGGAGGACAAAAAAAAAGAAATAGGAGGCATGTGCAGGAATGTTGTCAGGTTAATAGTATAAAGGTGGTGAGCTCGTGTATGGGATATTTATAAAGTCCACGATTTCCCATGTTCTTTCCAGTCTGTCACACGCTATAATAAATTGTGCACCTATTTTTACTGTCTGCTCCTCTTCTACCAGTGAAATGTTGCGTATTCTCTATTTCTACAGACGTAAAGTCTGAAATGAGAGCAGAGGAAGTGAGTGCCTCTTACTGCTCAATACTTTTGGCATATTAGCAGGAAGTGAGCCTCATCCTCCAGGACCCCAGATCATACTGCTTACACAGTCTACTTTCCCTGAGTCTATCCATTTCACAAGGATTTGATTTTCAGGCTGTGAGTGCTCAGTCTGTTCAGGCTCAGAATCTGTTTGTTTGGGGGTGTTGGAACATCTATAACATACAAAAGGAGAGAGCGCACGGCCACCCTAGTGTAATACTGTATATTGTAATAAAGGTTAAAAACTTTTTCGATTGCACTCACGTTTTCATATAGGTATCAAGCATGTCTGCATGTTAAGTGATCCACTACATGGTGCCTGTAGGATCTGAAGCCTCTGGGTGATCGATCCACTGCTGACCACAAACAAGTGAGGGCTGCGCTGGGAGGCACAGTGTCAGACTGCTGGCGTCCCTCCACACTGTGTGTGTGCGTTTGCTCCAGCCGGTACCACGCTCTGTAGATGGCTAGTAACTCCGAGGGAGGGTGGATCTCAATGTAGGAACACACATCACGACCACGTCACGGTTGTTTTGACGACTCATTTTGGAGGCATGGCCTCCTTTTGTCAAGTCACACCCACTCTCATCGAAGGTTTTATAGGGATCAATGGCTCCTCCTTTCATTCCAATCTTAAGGGACCACTCCACCTATACAGAGCCTTTTAAAAATCCGTCATTCTATACTTCTGTTTGCCATCAAATGAAGTCTGTCCCATGCAAGCTGGACTGCAAATGTAAACTATGTCCAGGTCCTGGGCGGCCTCTTCTCTCTCCTCACCGTCCAGGCTCTGCACATTGCCCAGGACAGAGCTTGTCTCTGAATTTGCCACATCTATACATATGGGGCCAGTTTTGTAGTTTCTCTGTAGTGACTGGTAAGTATTTAGTTTCTGAGAGTTTATCTTTTCCATTCTCTGACCTATTTTTCTTTGGAATTGTTCACTATGTCCTTTTTTATTTGAGAATTTTGTCAGGCCACATTGTTGGAGTTTAGGTGGACAAGATGCTCATTAGCTGTTCCAGGGCTCATGGTTTGCCCTGGTTCTTGTTAGTCTGTAAAATGTTATGAGTTGGGTTTGCTGTTTTGTAAGTGGTCACAGAATAACAGTGCACTAAGGGTAATGTGTCTAGCTCAGCCCAGCAAGAGTTGTTGGAGGTGCTCCGATGCACTTGTAGGAGATGCTAGTGAAATTCCAGATATAATATTTCTGTTGGGCTGGAGTCCCATTTAGGTTGTTCTGTGTAGGTGATAGGGCCCTATACTTCACAAGTAGGCTCTTTCACTATCTTGCTGTATGTCTTCTAACCCCCCCCCCCCCCTTTTTCTTCCCACATCTATTTTCATTAGCACATGCCCTTTTATTTCCTTTTTTTAGTTTTACATCCCCTCCCTAGTATGTTGTGTAGTTTCCAGCTTCCTTCATGTTGTTTATTTTTTCACAGATCTGGAATTTGGCAACGAATCGCCTTACCTTCCTGAACTCTTTCAAAATGAAAATGTCCATTATTCTAGGTGTCATTCACATGACTTTCGGTATAGTTCTGAGTCTTTTCAACTACATGTAAGTGGAAATATGAAGTATGTAAAAAAAAAAAAAAGGACTTTTTACTACAATAAACATCAGCCCTGAGCATAATCTCTCTCCCATTATGTCACTATACCTAATGGCCCCATGAAACAGAGAATGGTTAGAAGTTTATTTTATAAAGTTGTGTATTTAACTACATATTTTGCCTTCACTGAGCTGACTGGAACCTTTCTCTGCAAAGCTTCATCCTTCCTCCTGCAATTAAGGTGAATACACCATAGTAAAAAGGAACAGATTGTTAAAGTTCAATTTAATACAGTGTTTCTACAGTTCTGTGCTCTGTGACAGTAAAACATTGTTGAATCGGCACAGGATTTTCTAACTTGTAAAGTCTTAAGCGTGTATGATCTCTGAGAGATACATCACTCTACAATAGGGAGAGCTGCAAGCACGTTACTGCCATACTACAGATAAAGCTTCTTTATAAATAATACACATCATGCAAATGTTGATTATACTTAACATCTTGATTTTGATGTTAAAGAAGCACTCCAGGGAAAAAAGCATATATTTTATCATAAAGTACAGGACACAGGAATCGATTCATAGATCAAGGGTTATATAGCATTTCCTTCAGGTGATAGGACACTGGCAGAAGCTTTGCTTGGTCCACTCCCTAGTACTCCCATATAACTTTGCCCAAACTGTAAGATTCCAGTTTTTGCTAGTGTCCTTAGTTGATGGATACTTTCTCTTCTTGAGGAAGAACTTTTTCCTCTGATTTTATTTACCTCCCTTACTAACACTTTTATCCAGATCTGACTACTTATTGCCTTTATTGCTTATTAGCAGTTTTCATATCAGTGACCCTGGGCTGACCTGCATTGTTTGCTTCGGGCACTTGATCCTATGTTTTGCGCTCACCGTGGCACATGGTGCAACGAGTGTAGGTAGCTGCAGAATACTGCACAGGTCCAGGGCCATTGTGCATTCCTGTGGCAGACCCAGAAGACTGAAACAGGAAACCTTAGCGCAATCAATAAGGGCACGAGCCCCAAAACAACTACAACCAAATGTACGCAAATGAATACAACATACAAGTGAGGCAAAAGTAAGGAAATAAAAATGAATGGAAAGAAAACACTTAATCAGTGTGTCAGAAAAAAAAACAGTGTCTGTATTCCTAAAAATTAGACTATTGACAGTACTGCTGCCCACATCTGTTGTGTTCCCACAAGTGTACACACTGCAAAAATATATCTGAGTGCTCACCATGATGGGTAAAGCACAGACCAGCACTATGCACAATGTAAGATCCTTGTACATACTGGCTCAGGGCTTACATGTCTTGATGGCTCTGTAGTGTACACTACATCATTAGCCTACAAGACATACTGCAGTGCTATGCACATAAGTGGTTCATAGGGCATAGGTGTAGCAGGACATTTACCTAACGTTGTCTCACTATTCAGCCTTATGGTAACGTTATTACAGTGTTTACCTAATGTGAAAACTTGCTTCAATTGGTAGAGCTTTAAGGACTCATACACTCTCCTTCTTTTCCTGGCATTTCTTGCCAAATTTTAATAAAAGTAAGGTTAGAATACAAAATCAATGTGTATCCCTCAGTTGTTTACAAAACAGATAATCAGCCTCCTAGCTTACCCATACATCACTGTGGATCTGACCCTACTCTTCAGGCCTTTGTCTGTCTTCTACAGACTATCCTCTCACCAAAGCGTGGACCATGCACTTGCTGCTCTGGCTATCACCTGTCTCCTAGGTGGGGCCCTCCTGACTCCCAGACAGAAACCTCCTCTGTCTTTCGGTGTGGAGCCCATAACCATATTTAGGTCTTCTCTAAATGCCCAGTGCACATCTTCCAAATTAGTGTGCTGGTAGTTCCCAAAACGAGGACTGAGGATTAGAGATTTCATCCCACCCACATCTCTACGAAATTAAAGTGAGTTTTGCCAACCACTGAGGAAGCTTCAAAAACTGTTTCTCTGAAGGACACAAGCATTGTGGCGCCCCTCAACCTGCCTGGGTGAGAATCCTGTGTGTCAGATAACCATTTTCACAGGGTGGCAGGGCAGAGCGCTGTCACGCTATTCAAAATTGGTGGTCTTTTTTTTCCATCTCCCCAGCAGAAGTTTTACTCTGGCTAGTGTCGTAGAGCTTCTAAGACTCCTAGCTGTGCACTTCCTGTTCCCATTTTCTGCTGCTAGCTTGCCACCCCATCTGTTGCTAGATTCCTCTGAGACATCGGAACATGACAGCGGAAGCACACTGGACAGACATAGGTGAGTCTGCCACAGGCCCTTAGAATAATTCCAGTTCCTATCAAATTGATAGTGGTTCTCGTTCTTATAAAAGAAACCTCTAGAAATGTGTTTCATTTTACCATCTAAAAGAGGTGCACAATAAGTCTCAATTGTCTTCTCTCTTTATTTTGTTTTTATCTATTTCTGCTCGCTGCTTAGGAAGGAACAAGGTTTCCCTTACCCCATTATGACCTTCAGTACAACGTGCATTAGTCCTTTCCTTAAAGGAGGCAACAAGTGCTATATAGGAACTCCTGTCCTTGAATTCTGAACATACCACTAAACACATGATGCACTGGTATAAACTATTTCAGTAGTCAAGCTCCTATATGGTCTCCTTTGACCCAGCCATTTGAGACAGCCCACGAGTAGTTTATTGTTCTTCGGTCCCCATTTCTTAGTCCCTTCTACTTAAGGAGGTTAGTTCCACAACATAGAGCCCTTGCTCCTCTGTTTTGCCATCGCATGTCCTCCCTTGCATCAGCTTTCAGGTTTCATCCCAAGCCCCTTTCTTACCCTGTTTATGTCTGCAGATCGCCAACTTGCCCGTTTTCTGGCCAGAGCAACTATCTGCTTTCCTTTCCCCGGGTCTTGACCTTGGTGTTGAGTAACTTGATTGTCGATTTTGTATTGGAAACAATTGCCATCGCACAGTTCTCAGGGTTCCTTGGGTGATTACCTTTCCACTACATCTGCCATGCTCCGTTTTCTTACGTTGGCCTTCAGGTGCTCGACAGCATTGTTAGGCACATTCCTTATATCCTTACTTCCCGAACGAACACTCTGCATTGGTGCATTCCATCTTTTGTGTCAATGCCCCCCTTACAACTTCATTCATGCAGATGCATTTCCCCTGCTCTGTAGTCTCTGCTAAGACCATTCGACCTAGTGGTGTGATAGGGAACTTCATTTTGAGTTCTCTACGTTTACCTCGTTCTCTACATCCTTCTGCCTGGTCCAGGTTCAGCATGTCAGTTTGTACTCTGTCGGTCCAGGTCAACCTTGTATATCCTCTCCCCATCTCTTGAGACTTTGCAACTTTCTGCTGAAGATGGCTCTTCCCTGTCACCTGCTGTGATTCTTGCAGAACCTTATTACCAAGCTACCCCATACCTTTCTGTTTTTAAAGGATTTCCCTTCTTTTTGGGTTTTTATAAACATGTATCCTCCTCTGTAAATTTCACATCTCGGAGTATGGAACACAGGTCCCTCCCTTCCCTTCTCTGTGATCTCTTTATTGCTTCCTAACAAAACTGGAGCCTTAGGTGGTGAGCAGGGTTTTATTATTATTATACAGGATTTATATAGCGCCAACAGTTTGCTGAGCGCTTTACAAAATAAAGGGAGACAATATAGCAACAATACAGTTCAATACAAGAGGGTTAGGAGGGCCCTGCTCCTTGGAGCTTACAATCTAAGAGGAAGGGGCTGGTGGTAGAATAGGTAATAACTGTGGGGGATGGACTGGTAGAAGGAATAGAAGATTCTATTATTAACTGAAGGGAAGATAGTCTTTCAGAGATCGCCTAAAAGTGGCCAGAGTAGGCAATAGTCTGATAGATTGGTGTAGAGAGTTCCAGAGGTTAGGGGAGGCTCTGGAGAAGTCCTGGAGACGAGCATGGGAGGAGGAGACAAGGGAGCTAGAGAGCAGGAGGTCGTGGGAGGAGCGGAGAGGATGATTTGGGTGATATTTGGAGACAAGATTGGTGATGTAATTTGGGGCAGAGGAATACTAGAGGGTGGAGCCAGCAAAGCTTTTCCTGAACCTTCCTTCAGGAAAGGAAATGAACAGAAATGTTCCCTGTTGGGGAACATAACAAAAACTGATAGAGGTTATAGCACCAACCTTCTTTATCAAGCTTAAAAAAAAAAACAAATAAAAGTGAGTTGAAATTTAAATGTTTTCAATCAACATTTTTTTTCTCCTGCGTTTAGAGTTAAATTAAATAAAAGTAAGATCTTTGCTATACTTTTTTTTTTCAGGCACTTCAAGAAGAAATTTTGTGTGTACCTGGTTTTCATCCCTGAGCTTATTTTTATGACGTGTATCTTTGGTTACCTCGTCTTTATGATTGTATTCAAGTGGTTGGCATTTTCTGCAGAGAATTCCAGGGATGCACCTAGTATTCTCCTTCACTTCATTAATATGTTTATGTTCACTGGCCGTGGCAGTGATGACAAGAACAGGAACCAAGATCTCTTCCCAGGACAGGTCAGTGGTTTTTGAGAGCAAAAAACACGGTTGTAACAGTTGCTCTAAAGCTGGGCGTTTTCCATCAGTCAGCGGTTGGATAACAGATTCCTTCATCCACACAAATGAAGTAGATGAGGGGGATTCAGTTATTGTTGCTTCTTAATGTATGCAGAATGACCTCGGCTTGGATAGTCAGTGTTGTATATGCCACTTTGATTTTTAATGAGGTAAATCCTACCAAAACTAATATTTAAATGTTGGGTGGGTACCTGATGAGGTGAATTGCCCACCAAAGTCTCCTTTCTCTCCTCCCCTTACCCTTTTATCCATTATGGAGTTACATATTTGGCCCTCACTTCTCACGGCAATTTTCTGTAATGTAAAAAATGGAAAGTATTTCATGGTTCCCTGTAAGGATATCTTTAGAAAAAATGGATGGAGGGTATTTTAACCGAAGCCAGCTGGTCACAAGAATTGCATCTAATAAGTGTGTGTACTTGCAAAGAAAAAATTACAGAGCAGTTTACAAATGACATCAATAATGTCATGGCATATGCATCTCAAAATACAGTGTTGTATTTTGTAGACATTATGTCATATACTGTAGCTCTTTGTATCAAAAAGATTGCTGGTTAGTAGTGTGTTATAGACTTTATGGACAAAGCATGACAATTCGATCCCCAGGAAAAGACCCCACTAAAATACTGTATGTTTGATATAGACAGAAGCTGTCTATGCCATATGCGCAATGTCTTATACTGCTTTTCATTTAACTTTGTGTTGAAAGCTGTTGAGGTCCAAGTTGTGAAAATCCTTTGTTTCTCTGTCTAGACTGGTTTCCAGATATTCCTTGTAATTGTTGTGTTCCTCTGTGTGCCTGTAATGCTGTTTGGGAAACCATTGTACCTGTACTGGCAACATCATGGAGGACAGACCTTTGGGAATTATAGGGTAGGTGTCCTTTTTTTTTTTTTTTTTTTTTCTTTATTTTGGTAATATTTTTTAAAGCAATGCTATCTTTTTTTTTTTTTTTTTTTTTTTTAATACAGTTGATTTCAGACCTTTGCTGTTGTGACAAGTTTTCTACAATTTTCATTACATACTAATGCAATAACATTATCACTCACATTTCCTATCCATACCTTTCCATAGAGCCATGTTATTTTTTTTTTTTAAGACCAAACTTGTGTAGCACAGTGGAAAATTGTTAAATAGAATAATTTCGTGCTGCACTAATAGTAATATATCCCTTAAACCAAAAAATCATAAAGAATATATAAACTTCAAAATATATAAAATAGAATGCACATGAAAGACAAAATCATGAATAACAGTGAAAAGCCCCCAAAATAATAAATCTAGGGTGTAACCTAGGTACACCATAAATAGGTGACCGTCCTTAATATCCATAGATCGTGCCAACATAAATGGTGATAATACTCAAATAGGATCCCACCACTACAGTGCTAAATTGCATTAAAGTATAACTGTGATGTGAAAATATACCTACAGATATACTGCGTGCCAAACTGGTATTGGCTATAGACCTAACAGAAACAAACACTTATAGTGCACATTGTGAAAGGAAGAAGGAAAAATAGTTAATGGTGAAAACCACAAAGCTAATCTGACACAACACAGTTGCTGAAAAGAGATTCATTCAAAATTCGACAGATCTAAAAACTGTTTATGATAACAGTAAACCATAGAACAGTGACCCCTAATTGGGGATAAAGTGGAAAATTAGTGGCTAAATTACACTAATATAATACTGTATATATTGAAGAATTTATAAGCCACACAGCCTATAAACATAAAGAGAACAAAAGAGAGAGTGAACTATTTATTCTTGACCCCAAAATGTGGGGATAAATAGTGAAATAAGTGATATACATGTGAATCTGTGACACATAAAGTAATAGGTCAAAAAAATTCCAGAATCATATATAAATAAAACATCCAACATATAAAGTGAGTCTCATCAAAAAAATAATAATAAACGTTTCACCTGAACTAAAAAGTCCAAAAACCACCTAAATGGTGAAGGTGTTCTATATTCTTAATGAATGTATGTATATGAAAGGTTGTACATAGGAGATCCAACACTGGTGAAATGCCCCCTCACCTCCATGAAGTGACCCCACAGGGTCAGAGCGCTTGTTCAAACAATACCGCACCAATCGTGAACCTGGACCCCCTCCTGAAGGTATAGGGTCCAACGCTGGATCAATCCCCCTCACCGATGGACAACGGCACTGTAAGCAGCCTCTTCAGAAATATCCCAGAAACAGAAAATCATCATACAGCCAGAGAAAAAAAGGAAGATGCTTTCCTAGTGTAATAACGTTTTAATAAAATTATTAAGGTAATACAAGTGACCACTCACATGTATATAAATTTAGATAAGCCTTATGTGAAACCACATGATGTGGGTGTTCTTTACATTGATGTCTATTGGAGTACCAAGATGGCGTCCACACCAGAAATTACGTCAGCACGCCCGGAAATTGCGTCACCACGTCCCACACGTTACGTTACACTAACATGTGACTTCATCAGGGTCATATAGATATAATTGTTTAGCACAGCCCTGTCTGGTAGAGTAGGAGACCAGATTTATCTCTGCTTTAGTTAATAGGTTTTATGCCCTGTGCACATGGGATGAATATCAGCGTCTTCAATAGAAACCAGTTGACATTCGCCCCTTGTGTATGGCAGCTTGTCTGACAGCAATCGCTTGAACGCCCAGCTTCTGTCGATGGGGCATGACTAGGGTTGTCAACTCATCCTTTAAAACCGAACACATATTAGTCACACAGGTTCTGTGGCTGATTAAGGTGGTAATTAAACTCACTTAGTGCCTTATCTGAAATAAATTAGCCTCAGAACCTGTGTAATTAATGTTCAGTTTTAAAGGGATGAGGTGGCAACCCTAGACATGACTGAAAAACATCTGCCATTCGACATCCAATCAGCACTCTCAGCCAATGGTTGCGAGCTGCTCTCTCCTCTTAACTGGCGCACAGCTGAACAGCTTTGTGTGCTGCTTCTCCCCCTCAACCCCCGTTCTGAGGTCAAGGTACTTGTGCTGCTTGCAGTGTAACCAATTACCAATGTGTTAAAGTAGAACTATTTTTTTTATAGTTTTGGATAGAGTGGCATAAGATTAGAACACCTTTCAGGTTTTTTTTATTGTCTGCGCCTCTGGGCAACCTTTCTATTTGTCCTGTTTATTGTTATCACCAATAGTGAAAGTGAAAGAAAATCCCAAATTTTGGGTTGTCACCTAAACAGTGATAGTGGAAATCTTCCTATGGGGACACTAGTTCTGTGAACAACCAGGGATGCCCTCACTTTGGAAGGATTTCCTCTAATTTGCTTCTTTTTTTTTCCCAGAACAGGAGGTGAAGGCAAACCTCCCCAATAGAACACAAAAAAAATGACTAGGATTATAGCCCTACCTTACTGTATCCAAAATTATTAAAATAAAAGTTATTCATTATTTTGGATGAATGCAGAGCTAAATATTATCTTATATATTTTTTTATATATATATATATATATATACATACACACAGTACTGTGCAAAATTTTTAGGTAGGTGGAAAGAGGAAATACTTTAATTGTGTATTTTAATTTAAATAGTTAATTTACAGAATGCAAAATGACCGAACAGAAGAAGAATCTAAATCACATTTGTTGCGACTGCCCTTTGGCTTCAAACCAGCATCAGTTCTTACACTTGCACACTTTGTACACTTGCACAAAGTTAGGGATATTTTAGGATTTGAGTCAGGTATATGAATAACTAATTATATCAAGTAGGTGCTAATGATCATCAAATATATGTGAGAACAGTCTTTAGCTGAAACTAAACACTATGTAGGAGGCTTAAAACTGGGTGAGTAACAGTCAAACTTTGCTGCTAAGTTGAGGTTGTGGAAAACCGTTTCAAGTCACAGGTCTTACACCATGGCAAGACTGAGTACAACAAGAGGACACAAGGTAGTTGTAGTGCATCAGCAAAGTCTCTTCCAGGCATAGATTTCAAAGCAGACTGGGGTTTTAGGATCTCTTAAAGAAGCACAAAGGGCAATGTTGAGGATCGTAGACACAGTGGTCTGCTAAGGAAATGTAATGCAGCAGATGAAAAACACATCATGTGTACTTCCCTTCAACATTGGAAGATGTCCAGCAGTGCCTTAAGCATAGAACTGGGAGAAACCAGTGTAACCCAGGTATACCCATCTACTGTCTGGAGAAGTCTGGCCAGAAGTTGTCTTAATGGTAGAATTGCAGCCAAAAAGCCTTACCTCCTACATGGAAACAAGAATAAGTGACTCAACTGTGCACAAACATAAGAACTAGGGTGCAGAAAAATGGCATCAGGTGCTCTGGACAGATTACTCAAAATCTGATATATTTGGTTGTAGCAGGAGGCAGTTTGGAGAGCAGTATGATAATGAGTGTCTGCAGGCAACAGTGAAGCATGGTGGAGTTCCTTGAAAGTCTGGGGCTGCATTCCTGCAAATGGAGTTGGAGATTTGGTCAGGATCAATTGTGTCCTCAATGATTAAAAATACAGGCATATACTGCGCAATGCATACTAGCACATTGTGCTATTAAAGTGTAGTACCTGCCTTTTTTTTTTTCATAAAAAACACCCCTGCAATGGTCGCAGCTTATATAATACATTCCAGTATATGTATTAACTGTCTTTTGTGTTATGTTGTTATGCAGTGTACTCCCTGTTGCCTCTGTAGCAAGCGCGCTCCCATCTTCAGTGTGGGTATCTGAAGCCCCCTCATCGCTCCTTCCAGGATATGGTGTTGCTGGCTACCCAGCTTGTACCTCCCAATTTTGTGCATGCGCAGTGCGTAAAAAAGCGAGGCACACTCATATCCGCTTATCTTCGCCTGTCATCGCATCGTTTCCGGTTTTGAAATACCACGATGCTAGAAGCGGAGGCTGCACATTGACACCTGGGATTGATAACACTTAAATCCCAGGAGTCAGCGGGCATCCGAATATGAAGTAACTTGCCGCGCCAAACCACAGCAGAAGTGAATCTGTTTAATGAACAAAAAAGGTCATATGCTTTGGGAAAAAAAAAACCATTCCAAACCTTACTGGCACTGTGATCAGCAATGCAGAAGGGCACAACTTAACAAATTGGGTGGAACTCCGCTTTACCTTACAGAGGGAAGGTTTTTTTTTTTATTGTCAGACTTTACTTCCATTTTAACACTTCTATTTCTGAAAGCATTCTTATTTTTAAGCATTTTTTCCCACACCTGCCTAAAAGGTTTGCACAGTAGTGTATATACACAGTTTTTGTATGCTTGTGTATACATTTGACACAGATTTGACTATCTGCATATTCATGCTTCTTTTTATTGTTAATGCTTATTCTGTCTGTAGAAGGGATACACGTTAGTTCGTCGAGGCAGTGAAGAAGAGTTGTCTTTGCTTCAGTCACATGACTTGGAAGAAGGGGAAGACCATACAGGCCGTGAGGTTCAGAGGGACAGAGAAAAAGAGGAGGTGGGAACATGCCTGATTTATCCCAATATTACAGTGGGGATCGAAAGTTTGGGCACCCCAGCTAAAAATTTGTATTAATGTGCATAAAGAAGCCAAGGAAAGATGGAAAAATCTCCAAAAGGCATCAAATTACAGATTAGACATTCTTATAATATGTCAACAAAAGTTAGATTTTATTTCCATCATTTACACTTACAAAATAACAGAAAACAAAAAAATGGCGTCTGCAAAAGTTTGGGCACCCTGCAGAATTTATAGCATGCACTGCCCCCTTTGCCAAGCTGAGACCTGCCAGTGTCATGGATTGTTCTCAATCATCGTCTGGGAAGACCAGGTGATGTCAATCTCAAAGGTTTTAAATGCCCAGACTCATCTGACCTTGCCCCAACAATCAGCACCATAGGTTCTTCTAAGCAGTTGTCTAGAAAACTGAAACTGAAAATAGTTGACGCTCACAAAGCTGGAGAAGGCTATAAGAAGATAGCAAAGCGTTTTCAGATGTCAATATCCTCTGTTCGGAATGTAATTAAGAAATCAGGAATTCAGTCATCAGGAACAGTGGAAGTTAAAGCAAGATCTGGAAGACCAAGAAAAATATCAGACAGAACAGCTCGCAGGATTGTGAGAAAAACAATTCAAAACCCACGTTTGACTGCACGATCCCTCCAGAAAGATCTGTCAGACACTGGAGTTGTGGTACACTATTCCACTATAAAGAGATACTTGTACAAACATGGTCTTCATGGAAGAGTCATCAGAAGAAAACCTCTCTTCTACGTCCTCACCACAAAAATCATCGTTTGAACTTTGCAAATGAACATATAGACAAGCCTGATGCATTTTGGAAACAAGTTCTGTGGACCGATGAGGTTAAAATTGAACTTTTTGGCCGGAATGAGCAAAGGTACGTTTGGAGAAGAAGGGGCACAGAATTTAATGAAAAGAACCTCTGTCCAACTGTTAAGCATGGGGTTGGATCAATCATGCTTTGGGGTTGTGCTGCAGCCAGTGGCACAGGGAACATCTCACGAGTAGAAGGCAAAATGGATTCAATAAAATTTCAGCAAATTTTGGATGGTAACTTGATGCCATCTGTGAAAAAGCTGAAGTTAAAGAGAGGATGGCTTCTACAAATGGATAATGATCCTAAACACACCTCGAAATCCACGGGGGATTACATCAAAAGGCGTAAACTGAAGGTTTTACCATGGCCTTCACAATCTCCTGACCTCAACATAATTGAAAATCTATGGATAGACCTTAAAAGAGCAGTGCGTGACAGACAGCCCAGAAATCTCAAAGAACTGGAAGACTTTTGTAAGGAAGAATGGGCAAAGATACCTCAAACAAGAATTGAAAGACTCTTGGCTGGCTACAAAAAGCGTTTACAAGCTGTGATACTTGCCAAAGGGGGCAGTACAAGATATTAACTCTGCAGGGTGCCCAAACCTTTGCAGACGCCATTTTTTTGTTTTCTGTTATTTTGAAAGTGTAAATGATGGAAATAAAATCTAACTTTTGACATATTATAAGAATGTCTAATCTGTAATTTGATGCCTTTTGGAGATTTTTCCATCTTTCCTTGGCTTCTTTATGCACATTAATACAAATTTTTAGCTGGGGTGCCCAAACTTTCGATTCCCCACTGTAAATTGAAAGTATATATCTTTACATAATGTATGTTATTTTGTCATTTATTATGGTCAGCTTGCTTGGTAAAACCGATCTCTGGGCTAATTTTATTTTTTGTTTGGGTCCCCAAAATATGTGACTGGCCTAAAGACTGAGAGTACTGTAAAGCCAGATTTACTTTAAAAAGTTGACTTGGGCAAGGATCTTCGGATTTAGTGTTTAAAAGTAGTATTATTAGTTATACTTTCATTCATGAAAGCTTTACTTTACCTGAGCCTGATATTTTCAGATTAAATATCAGAAACCACCTGAATTTTGTCTTTGAGGTCCATGGAGTATCCACTAACAAAGACCTGTGGCTGTCTCAACACCTATTAACTACATGACTCTGTTTTTTAACTCTATTATGTGAATATTTGGAAAATGGTATGTTTCACCAGGCATTTGCAATGTTGGAAGATGGTATGTTTCACCAGGCATTTGCAATGTTGAGACAACCTAAAGCTAAGCAAACCTAAATGTATATTTTAATAGTATAAGATTAAGAACTCAGATACTTGCTTGAGGCCAGTTGTAGCTGTTTCTCTAAGTTTAAGAAGTTTTGGGAAGGGTTCAAAGGGTTATATTGTATAAGACATTTCCTTAATCATAAGGTCATATGCCCTTTATCCTACTTTATGCAACACCTTGAGATGCCTTCCTCAGAACTGTTCACACTATGGCAAATTTTACATTATCTACGCTCTCTCCAGAAATCAACTCCAGGTATATTACAGCAAGGACAGCATTTGAAAATAGATGTATTCAAGATATGGAACAGCATGACGGCATATTAAATTGGTTGAGTGAAAGACTTCACCAGAGTGAATACAGGTGAGGGTTCACAACACAAGATGTAAACCATTGGTGAGCCTCAGATAATTTCAACTATTTGGAATCTGTTGGCCAGATTCGGTGAAGCAAGTTTGCTGAAAAAACCAAACGACATCAAAAAAAGGGGTGGCCTTCACAGTTCTGGAAAACAACAACATCCTATGGATAGATCAAAGTCAACAATCAAGAGAAGACACCACAGATCAACATTGGTGTACCAGAGTGATGGGAACAACATCCTAGACAGATGAGACCAAGTCAACTTGTACCAGAGGATGGGAAGGAAAGGAAAGTGCTCATGATCTAAGCATACCACCTCATCAGTGAAGCATGGTGGTGGTAGTGTCATGGCGTGGGCATGTATGGCTGCCAATGGAACTGGTTCTCTTGTATTTATTGATAATGTGACTGCTGACACAAGCAGCAGGATGAATTCTGAAGTGTTTCGGGCAATATTATCTGCTCATATTCATCCAAATGCTTCAGAACTCATTGGACACTGCTTCACAGTGCAGATGGACAATGACCCAAAGCATACTGCAAAAGCAACCAAAGAGATTTTTTAAGGGAAAGAAGTGGAATGTTGTGCAATGGCCAAGTCAATCACCTGACCTGAATCCGATTGAGCATGCATTTCACTTGCTGAAGACAAAACTGAAGGGAAAATGCCCCAAGAACAAGCAGGAACTGAAGACAGTTGTAGTAGAGGCCTGGCAGAGCATCACCAGGAATGAAACCCAGCGTCTGGTGATGTCTATGCATTCCAAACTTCAGGCTGTAATTGACTGCAAAGGATTTGCAACCAAGTATTAAAAAGTAAAAGTTTGATTTATGATTATTATTCTGTCCCATTACTTTTGGTCCCTTAACAAGTGGGAGGCAAATATGCAAACTGTTGTAATTCCTACACCGTTCACCTGATTTGGATGTAAATACCCTCAAATTAAAGCTGACAGTCTGCAGTTAAAGCACATCTTGTTCGTTTCATTTCAAATCCATTGTGTTGGTGTATAGAGCCAAAAACGTTAGAATTGTGTCGATGTCCCAATATTTATGGACCTGACTGTAGTGTGGGTGTGAGTATATATTTCCTTGGAGAGTATGTGGGAAATTTTTTTGCTTTCTTTTTCTACAGACATTGTCTTCCTGGTCACCTCTGCTGCTGTGAGGTGGGCGTCTGAGTTGGCGGTTTTCCCTTGTGAGTCTTCCTAGTTGCTTTTACACAGGAGCAAGGTAGATCTCTCCTGTGTCCTTTCTTTCTGTCAGGGGCCAAGTTTTCTCCTGCCTGACGTCATGCTGCTGCTTTCTTTGTGTCTTTGGCCATCACATAATATGGGGTTGCGCTGCACTCCTTGGAGGTGGCTCGAGTAGTTGGTATGTTCCATGTCACTGCAGCCTCCTGTGGTGGTCATCTTCTTTTTATGTTCGGACGACCCACAAAAAGGCTTGGCGACTTCCTCGGTCACAGTTTTCCTTTTAATCTGGCAGATATTTTTTTGGGAGTGCTCTAGTGGGGGGATGGGCTCCTCTTTTCTCTGCTGTGGCACATTCCACTGGAGTGATTAGTGCCTTCTGTACTTTCTGGCATCTGTGCTTCGGATTGCAAGGGGCTGCCGAGTCGTCTAGGCACTTTATGGTACATTTTTTTTTTTTCCATAGTTGTGTTTGCATCTCCGGATGCGTGTTTTGGCTGCACAGTTTTGCCAGCTGTTTCGGCTTCCTTGTTTTCCTCCTTTTGTGGTTGCTTGGGTAGTTGGCATGTTTGCCTGATTGCTTCTTTTGCCTTTTGCCTTTTGCTTTGCCTACCCCTCGTTGAGGCACTGCTTTGGGACATCCCTGTTTGGTTATAGATCATGAAGAAAGGCTGTGTCCATCAATGAACGTAAGAGAAAATGGAATTTTTTGTTACTGTAAAATCCTCTTCTCTGAGTTCATTGATGGACACAGCACCCACCCCTCTTGGGAGTTTCCCCTTTGACACTGCTTGGGACTCACTGGAGACCTATAGCAGAGAGGGGTTTTATACCCAGAGAGGACTGCCCATAGGAGGTGCCGAGTTTTTTTTTCTGCCTAGGGTCTATTCCTGTCATGGGGCTATAAAACTCTGGGTATGGATCATGAAGAAAGACTGTGTCCATCAATGAACTCCGAGAAAGGGATTTTACGATGGGTAGGAAAAAATCCAGTTTTTCTGTTCATTGCCAATCACTGAAGAAATTCGTGCTTATAATTTTATATTGTAGTATGGTTACACAGGCTGCTTTCTTCAGTTTACACAAGCATTTAAGACTTCTCCACTCCCCCATGCGGCAGACATATTTACAGGTATTATATCATGTCTTGGTCATGTTAGTCTTTTTTTCTTTTATACATTCACTCCCCCTTCGCTATTTCTTCTCAAAGGTGTTTTAGGTAATGAAAAATATACATCTAGCTTTCCACAGCTTGATAGTCCTTATATTACTGAACCTACCTTCATTACATATTGTATGTGA